AACCTTCTGTTTACTTACTGTCTCACATTTTCATGACAAAGAGATCAATAAAAATGGTCCAAATGAAAATAAAATCTTGTTACATTGACTTTATTTGGATGTTTTTACCTTCTCTTGTAAAGCTACCATTTTAGAGATACAAAGTTTTTTTTTCTGGCAGCAACAGTTTAAACAATTTATATAATAAAAATTGGATTACATACTTATATATTATTGCTGTCAGAGCTGTTGTATTAACTTTACAGGAGAAGGAAAAAAACATTCTTAACTTTCAATGTAAGTTAATTTAACAATTTTCTTCCAAGTAATTTTGGACCTTTTTCATTGGTCCATTCATCATGGATATTTGGATATAGTGTAAACGGCACATAAGGTACATAATATGTGTGTTTAAAGAACAAAGACAGCTTTGAAGTCACTAAACACAGACAGGCTCTTTGAAACAGCAGACTATATAGAAGGAGGTCTGTTACTCTGTCTCTCGCCTTCTGATTATGTTATATATTTTAAAAGCAGCATTAGTGCTGTTAGAGCAGTATATCCTGAACATCTAAATGAGTATTTTGACAGCAGTGTTGGATTTATGCACAGTCAGGATGTGCTCTGGCACTCAGAACTAATTTATGACTGACTGTATTACGCATTCTCACTGCAGACCCTGGGGCCTGTTCTCCATCCTGACGTATCTAGTGTGTCTATCTGCCCTACGCGCAGTTACGGCTGCCCTCTGTGCAAAAACATACAATTTGGTTTTCTGGTTTCGTAACGTTTCAAGCCACAGTCACACTCACCCTCTGGTTATCTGCTGAAATGTGCACCATTAAGTAGGTCACTCCGTGTCAAATTGCTGGAGCTGGACACGACATGTCACACAGCTTGGAGCCACGGCCTAAAGAGTGGAGCGATGCTTCTGAGATTTGAGAGAAACGTCTGTGTAAGGAGTGGCTGATTTTGGGAGTTACAAATTAGTATTTAATTATTTCCTCACACTAGGACCAAACTGATGTCAAAACTTTATCACTGATTAAGATTTTAATGAGGTAATATTCTGATATCCAGTAATATCGATCAGTTTGTCAAATATGTCTTTTTTGTCAATGTTCTTGGCCACATAAACTGCAGAAACAGAAGTCTTAAATAATAGAAATATTGAAGCAGGAAGCAGAAGTTTCTGTCAGCTCTTATTTTTCATCAGTGTTCCTAGTTTGCAACTGCTGAACATCTGTCTAAAAATCTCTCGAACACTGCTTTTGACATCCCTGTAAATCTTCTTATGCTGTAAAAGGCTGAGGCCGCATGCTGTGTGACAGGTGGAATTGAAATGTCATCTCTTTAGCTGACAGAATGGCACTTGAACTTTTTTTTACAAAATATTTATAAATCTCAGTATTTGTGCAGAGTCTCAGAATGTACCCATTTTCCACTTGCCAGTGGTATGCACTGTGCAGCTGATTATGTGACCTGTGCATATTTAAGCTTATCTGCACCAGTATTTTTTTTTCACTTTATCTTCTAATTATTTAGTTAATTAATTTCTTTCATATGATTTCAGGGACATGGGAAGTGGAGGTGCAGAGGATGCATGAGCAGTTGCTGTAAAAATATTCAGATTTCTGAATATTTTTACAGCAACTGCTAAAAGTAATATAGAATGAAATGAACTAGTTGAATGTAGTAAAGACCTAGGTGTGCTTGTGTTAGAGTGGAGTTTGTATTTTTATGTTTCATTCATGTATTTTCAAATCCTGCAGTAGCCGTGCACTGTTTAAATTAATTAAATTAAAGTATTTTCATTATAGCGAACAGTCAGTCAGCACAGAACAATAGTTGGTTAAATCTATAACACTGGACATAAAGTTCACTGTTTTAAGAAGGTAAATACTTCAAAAGCATTAAAGTTATACTCAAATCACTAACATTAGCTGACTACCTTGTTGCTAACCATAATTAGTTTTATGAAGCTGTTCCTGTTTTTCCCACTTTGCAGCTCGAACGGTGGGATGTTGAAAATGACTTCTGAGATCTGACTTTTCACTTCCAAGCCAAGTCGAACTCTAGATACGACCTGTAAATGCTAGCTTGATACTAAACAGTAACACATAGGCTTACAGTCTAAATCAGGGTTTCCCAACCTGTGGGCTGCGGACCAACAGTGGGCCGTGAAGCACCCTCTAGTGGTCCGCGGGCCTGAACTCAGAGGGAGGCGGTAGTTCGTAGTGGGCTGGTGAGGGCACTATAAGTCATAAAAACATTAGTGAAAAAAAGATTAACTTGGGCCTAATAATTAAAAATCGAAGAATCAAACGTTTCTAAATTATAACCAAGGCTGATTAAACATCATCAGTTTGAGACAGCGCAGCCATGCAGTGCAGACAGTTAGCCAGAGGTGGAGAGGTTTCTCAGGGCACTTTAACCGACCTTGTTTGGTGCGAAACTATGAAATGTTTTTCTTTAGTTTGCTCCGTTTTGAGGTGAGCGAACATGCCACACGTATTCGGGTCCACATCAAACAGCTGACCTGGTCTGGCAAAAAAACCCGGTCTGCTTCCAGCCGAACGCTGTTCAGTTCACTGCTGGTGCATACGCATTTTATGATGAAATTCATCAGTAGAGCCTACTTTCTTCTTCTTCTAGCAGCATGTCAGCGCAGTACTGTCAGCTTAATCTGCAGGAGCTGCAGCTGATAAAAATGGGACGAGCTGTAAAATAATAATGATGATCTGTGTTTGTCTTTTGGCCGAGCATCAGCAGCCTGAGTCATTAAACTCAAAATGATAAACTAATGAAAATGACAAAAAGCAGATATCAAGTAAGGTTTATTAATTATTATTAACTGTGACGACGCTGATCCAAAAGCCTACTGAGTGGAGTGAGGTTTATTTCAAATGAGGCACTAAAACCCTCAAAACTAAAGAGACATCTCAACCCCAAACAGTGACTCCTGTAGGAGCCACAAGAGTATTTTCAGTGAAAACACAATGGACTGCAGCTCCAAGTCACAAATCACATCTACCTTTTCCTTTAACGTAAAGGTTTACATTTAACGTATTTTTTAACATAACTGCAAATTTTGGTTTGAACTGAAATGGACAGTTGGATCTTTTCAGGCCCCAGTTCACAGATATTCAGTGTGAGCAATTAAGAAAAAAAAGAAAACCAAGTTGATTTTAGTTTTTCTGTGGGCCGCTATGCTTTATAGTTATAAACAGGTGGGCCTTGGAATGGAAAAGGTTGAGAACCCCTGGTCTAAATTAAGTTAACCTATGAAAACTATCATACATACATAGAAGTTTGGTAGCTTTTCTCAGCATGACAATAGCTGCATTAAATATGTTTTTTCATACATTAAGGACAGAAAAGAGGGACCGAAAAACACTGTGTTTTGTGTGGTGAAGTATTAGCTTTTATGTTAGAACGGATGGGAAACTGAAGACAGTTTGATGATTTCCCTGCTGTAGCGCACCAACTAAACCTGATGATTAACTGGTGAGATTAATCAGGTGTGTTTGAACAGATAAATCACTAGGATTAGAGTTCCCCAACCATAATTACTTATAGGTTGTGACTTAAAGGGGCATTCCAGCCAGTGTTTATTGTGTTATTTTTTGTGTTATGCAGTGTTGTGTAGTACAGCATTATGTCCCTCAGCCGCATCACTTGGGCTAAATTTGCTATTTTACATGTTTTCTTGTTTTCGTTCGTCATTATTCTCACACTACAATACCCAGAATGCATTACTCAAATACTTTATACAGCCATTGGGAATCCCTGTGGTGTTGACCCACATAACAGCTAGCCTGGTCACTGATTTATAATACGGTCAAGCTAGCTTGAATGTAACTCATACCTCAGCCGTTGAACAAAATTGAAAAGTTTTCTCTTTAGTCAGCATAATATAGACTCTTTTCAGACAGCACAAAGGCCAAGTTAGCTGCTTTGCTAACTTAAGCTTTTAGTTTGTTGTCCTCATCTGACAATCCATTCTGTCCAGTCTTAATGATGGACTGATGAAAGCTACTTCAGTTAAGTGGCTGCAATGAGATTTTTAGCATCTTAGCAGTAGCTGTCTTTCTTCCTTCTTCATTCATCAGCTAACAATTAAAAAAAACATTTCACATTAGCCTGCCAGCAAAAATCCACCCAAAAATCCACCCAAAGCAGTTTTAGTTTTTCAAACGTGCTCCCACATTCAAGATACATCATCAAAAGGGGTTTTTCAAACTCTAGAGACCACTGCGTCACTGCTATACGACCCGAGTGAACATGTTTACAACAGAAGTAGAGACGGTTTGGTTTTTCACTTTGGCTGGCCAGACCTTAAATGATGAAGGACAAATGTGGGTCCTGAGGCATGACCACTTGAGAAGCAGACATTTAGACTCTGATTCAGACACTTTTGTCCAAAGTTGTCTTACATTAGACAAATGCAGGGACAGTCCCTCTGACTCAAACATTATTCAGTAACTAAAATGAAACCAATCAGGGTCCAGTTTCCTTATTTCATCTTAACTGGTAGAGGGAGTGTTCTTTGTGATGCTCGCTCTACCATAATAATCTACTAAGAATAATCTTTGTACTAAGATGCTTTCAGAAAAACCCAGCCCTGTATGTTCTGTAGTTTTGAATGTGAGGAATGTAAATGTGGGCCCACATACAGACTTTAGAGTTCAGGGAGGTTTAATTAAAAAGTCGTTGAACAGCAACTTTGAAAAAAGCTTGAATTCAGTAGCAACATTCGTACATCACGACGTCCTCAACTCAACTTGTTGATTATATTCTCTTTCTCTATATTTCTCTCCTGCTCTTTTTTTTGTTTCTCTTGCACACGATCATTCTTTATTTTTCTGTTATTCTCTCTTTATCGTTGTTCTCTCTCTCTGTGTATAGTAATTAAAACATGTTAATGCATAAATGTTTTGCTGATTTATCAAAGTCTCTCTCTCTCTCTCTCTCTCTCTCTTTCTCTCTCTCTCTCTCTCTCTCTCTCTCTCTCTCTCCAGGCAGCTGACGGGAGCAGTCTGGCTGTCCCCGGCACCATGCAGCGGGGCGGCTCAGATACGTGTCTGGAACTGGATGGTGAGGGGTCTGTGCGAGACGCGGGTCGCGGACGCCTGGGGCTGGAGGGGCTGCAGCAGAAGATACTGAAGGTGACAGAGCAGCTGCGGATCGAGCAGGCCCTGCGCGACGAGAACGTGGCCGAGTACCTGAAGCTGATCAACAGTGCCGACAAGCAGCAGAGCGGGCGCATCAAACAGGTGTTCGAGAAGAAGAACCAGAAATCAGCTCAAACCATCGCTCATCTGCAGCGCAAACTCGAGCAGTACCACCGCAAGATCAAAGAGTGTGATGTCACTTCCTCCTCCAATGGGACCAAACACACGCATACACATAGCAAAGATGCAAAGGAAACGTCCAAGGACAGCTTGAAAGAGTGCAAGGAAGCAGCAGTCAGGGGCAGTGGACGTCACCCACAGCTAGACAAGGTAATGAATGATGGTCGCAGCACTTTTCAGTAACACAAACATAAAGTAATATATAGCATTATGGACATTGAAAGCGTGAAAAAAACAAGCAGTTTATGGCTAGACTAATCCTGAGAAAACAGCAGGATTACAAAGGCAAGATCAGAATATAGCAGTGTTATAAACATGAACAATGGAAATTTTGACCAGTGTAAAAAGGGGAAATGAATAGGGGCAGTTTGAGGATTGATATCGAGCCAATGAAAATAAGTTGGGTGGGTCCTTAAAATGAAATATTAGGGGTGTAAATAGGTTTTCAAAATATTGTTATGGCAAAATATTGCAGATAAGCTCCTGATGATACACATATCAGTGCAGTAATGGCTGTATCTGTATTTATACAGTTGTATGCAAAAGTCTGAACTGCCCTGATGAGTATCCTTTCTTAATTTTGGTACAGACATGTATGATTTTTGTTAGTTATTTATTACTGTAGTTTTTAGAAGAAATTTTAAGGAAAGCATTAACCAAAAATATTTGTTGTACAGTGGGGGAGTTTTGTCATTGTATCATATTGTTTGATTTTTGGGATTTTTTTATTCAGCAATGTGCATTCCGATTAATTTTGATATTCAAGTATCCTACAAAAGTTAATCGGTTAACTGCTGGGAAGAGAAAAAACAGCCCAAGATAAATTACACTTTTAGGTCAACATAGAGCTGGAGGCTTACTCTTTAAGGTGATAGCACTGTTGTTAAGAGGCTGAAAGAATCTTTAGCAGCAAGAGAAATACATTTAAAAACATTTTATTATTAAAAATAGCTGAGGGAATTTGCTAGGTTTTCTTATTGGATGAGGAACGGAGGCTACTTCTTTAGATGTGAGCTAAAAGTACAGCTAACTGGTACAACACAGGACGCTGATTAGGACTTATTATCTTCTTATAGATGATATTTTCTCCTCTGGACAATGTGCAAAACATGTTAGTTTGTCAGAGAAATATATTTCCACTGTTTCTAGACATGGCTAACATCAGCCAGTGTAGTTAGCCAAGTTAGCAATAAGGCCATGTTACATTTGCCTTCTCAGCCTCGACTTTAACAACGCATTGGCGTTCAAACACTCGTCTCTCAGAATAGTAAAGTGTAACATAGTAAGCATGCTAAACATCATCTAAACATGAGCAAAACTGTATCGTTCTACAGACCTGTTGAGAAAGCCGCATTTCATTGCTGGTTTGTATAGTTCCTGTGACGAAGGGGAACGAGAACCCGAATAGTGATTTCAGTATTCAGTACAGCCACCTTGAACGGTTAACCAAGTACTCGAATACTTATGCATTTCCCCTAATTAAAACTGTCTTGATTCTACAGATACAGCAAAATATGATTTGTCCATACTGTATTGAAATCGTAGCACCTTCATTAAATTTGTAACAGTGTAATTCCAGTGGATGTACTATGTCAGATGTATTTGTGCACAATTTGTTACACTCAAAAATCTGCGATGCCTGTTCTCCATAGACTCCATAGAGGTGGTGATTATACACGCAAAATGATTGCCATCATTTGCTCACTTGACTGTGTTACCTACAGCGGAAACCTTTGCTCTCTTTAGCTTTACTCACATTGTGTGTAAGTGGAATATGCAAATTTAACATAGGCTGGTTGGCAGACACCAAGTTTGTGGTTGAAATGAGCATGGTTTCAAATAGCGTCACAAGTGGCATTAAGGAAATAAAATGTATCCCTTGAGCAGGCCTCCCGTGAATTTCTTTTTTTTTTTTTTTAATTTTTTAAATTTAAGGTTATAATTTGTCTGAAAATATTCTTTACAATTATAAATATTAAATTCTAAGAGGATGCATAAAAAACATGGTCAGTATTTAACTAATTCACAATAGTTTTACAACCAAGAATATACAGCTGACAGTGGTCCTGTGGTCAGAAGCTGACCACTGATGATGGGCTAGAGGACGGCAAAACTGGTAACTAACTGTGCATGTATTGTGAAGTCTCAAAGTGTATAACCGTGTTAGATGTTCAACAAATCTGTTTGAATAAAACATAAAAGACATAAAGACAGAAAATAAAGAATAACACATTTATTAACATATTAATGTATGAATACATTAATTAATATATTATACATGCCATATTTGAGATTTTAAAGCTGCCTTTTGATCAGGCAAACACTTGAATATGAATACACTTCACTCTTCTGTCTCTAGTTACTGCTACTCTGATGAAACAAATCAATAATAAGCACTTTAATAGCGATATGAATTGTGTTCTGAATGTGTGCTCACACTCAGTCAGAGGCTATTCTACTACATCCAACAATAAACACAGCTTTGAGCTTCTTTTATACAGGGATAGGAAACATGGTATCGCAGAGCTCCAATTCCACATGCTGATCCAGTTTGCTGACCAACATGGACCTGCTGCATGCTCACAAACTACTTTGGCATCAGATTTTAATGAGTAAAGGACACAAAGACACTGAACGTATTGCCAGCAGGATGTTAGGATTGATAGGGTTAATTAGTATAAACCTGTAGACACCCTGTAATAAATTTGGTCTTGCCGCTATTACAGGTGAAGACCATCGGCCCGGGTGTTTCTCTCACGCCGCCTTTCTTTTTCAACAAGTCCCGTGGCTTTGCCAACCTCATCCGCAACAAGTTTGGCAGCGCTGACAACATTGCCCACCTGAAGAGCTCCATGGAGACAGGGGGCGGGCTGCAGGCGGAGGGGGCAGGACGGGTGCTGAGTGGCAGTGCTACGCTAACCAGCAAACCCAAATACCCGAGCGATGATGAGTGCTCCACGGGCACGTCCGTGTCTGCGGAGAGCAATGGGCACAACTCGGCACTAGGGGCCACACACATTGAGGCGGTGTCAGGGGAAAGCTCCAGCAGGCTGGCCGAGGCCCTGGAGGAGGTGCGTGAGGTCAGGGAGGCGCAGACTCACCTGGCAGAGGACATAGAGAGCCTGAGGAGCCAGATAAAGCGCAACTATGGCTTTATCTCACAGATGCTTCAGGAGGAGAGATACAGGTAAACATGCATGCACATGTACAACAAAAATTATATCCATATGCATACACCGCTCATCAAAAGTTTGAGTATACCTGATTTTTCAGCAACGATGCAGACCCTGGTATTTACATTTCAAGAGAAGGTTTTGAAAGGAATAGTTTGGCCAAAAAAAAAAAATTAATATCTACTTACACCAGGTGTAGTTCATCAGGTAAGGCATGTTTGGAGTCAAAATGTTGCTTCTTTAGTTTAGAAATGGAGTTAGGAGGCTAATGTAACTGACAAATGGCAGAACTCAATAGTGTTTGGGCAAAGTTTTTTATTAAAGCTGTGCAGACTTGTCGATGTGAGCATAGTATGACGTACTGTGAGCTATAAACATGAACAAAAATTCACCGATACAGGCAACTATTTAAAGAAGCATTACATCCATGTTCCAAAATGTCTGTGTAATTGAAAGGTTCAGATATAAACAAAGTCATTCAGATTGGTTTGATGTGAAATGGTTCATATGCAGAGAAACTTACGGACAGATTTCCCTACAGTGGTGGTGATAGGAACCAGGAGTTCCGATGTCTACATTGCAAATATAGCCATTTCATTTGCTATCGAAAACCACCAGTGAACCTGCACGTGTCTTCTGAGTCTTTTTATGTGACGTTGATGATGATTAAAATAGTGGTCAATCTGAAAAAATTAATTTTCTTTGGGGACTATTTTGTCTTAGAACACCCTTCATATCTCCTTCCATCATGAATGAATTAATAATAAATTGATTAAAAATTTTAGACCCAAACTTTGTCACAAAACTACTGTAGGACATCATGCAGTGCACTTGTAAAGATTTCATGTAGTAACTTTCTGTGATGTAGCTTTTAGAGATATTAAACTCCTCAGGCATCACCACCACTGTGAACAATTTTGACTCTGTAAGTTTCTCTAGCTCAAAGCATTTGGCACCTTTGAATGACTTGAATGACTACATCTTAACCTTTTAAATATGTGGATCTTTTGAAAAATGAGTTCCCTTGAAGACAACACCATGGCTGTTATTCATAAAACAGCACTGGATCAGGTTCCTCCAAATTTGTGACAGTCATTGTCCCAAATACCGATTCTAACCTAGAGGTGGTTTGTGAATACCTGTTGTCTAAAGTGGTTGTCCAATGTTTTTTTTCATTTTCATCGTTGACAGTAAGTGATACTGTGTCCTAAACCACATCATCAAGTCTGTGTGACCTTAATGAAGACCTGGACGCAGGTTGAGTCTGTTGAAAGAAAACTATTTAGGGCTTTTTGGGTGACTATTGAGTTCTGGACTTTGTTAGCAATGTTAGCCTCATTGCTCCAGTTCTAAGCTGTCTCGACCAAACAACTACGGAAAATTGTGTAAATTAGGTTTTTTGCCAGACTGTTTCTTTACTAGATTGTATTAACTGAGACTCAGGGGTGTTACGCTGGTTAAACACATCACATTGACACCAGAGGGGACGTCAAAGCTATAAGGCCTTTTTTACTCAGAGTCTGCATTTTACAGATACAAAAAAAAAAACAACAGAAAAAAGGCATCATTAACACTAACGCTGTCTTTCACACCAGAGATCATGGTTTCTTCACATCTTTTAGCACTCAGAACTCTGAGCTGAAACAGAGCCTCAAACTCCACGCACACACAAACACACATGCACACACACACACACACACACGCATACACGCACACTGTGTAAGTTGGTGGAACTCATTGTGCTTCTAAACATATTTAGCAGAAAGGGATGTTACCTAATGACTGGGTAAAAGAACACTAATAACTTGGTGGTTAGTACTAGGGGAAGCCATTTCTCCTGCATTCAGAGTTTCTTTAATAACAAAAGTGCATGGTGGTAAGTTTTAGTGTGTTAAAAATCTCATCTGCCTTTTTTCATCCGTATAATTCAACTTGATCTGAAATGACCTCATGATCACTAAACATTCAGTTATGATAAAGCAGGAAAAATACTGCTTCTGAAGGTGATCCCAGTCCCAGAGTTAAGCATTTTTTCTCTCTACATACAGGGGACAAACCGTATGTATGCTACAAATGTTTGGAAATGAAACTGTCAAATCATTATTTAGGCAGAATTATTATTCTGTTTATAATTTCTTTTCCAATCTATAATTGAATTATACATAATTATACATAATTAGACACTATGTATGCAAAGGTTTGGCCAACCTGATCAAATAACATGTTTTCTAAGTGAAAATACTTTAATACATTCTCTACAGAGAACACACTTCTTCACATTTTAAAGGACAATTACTGTTTATTTACAATTTTCAAACGTGTTAAACTCAGCAAATAATGTGTTAAATCAATTTAAATTGTGCACTAACATTTGCAGACATTTAGTTGTGTTCCCTGTTTACTTATCTTGTCTTAAATCCAGGATGTTCTTTGCATATGACTGTAAATTGAAGAACATTCAATATACAGGCTTTACAGGGGAATCAATGCAGAAACACACAGACACATACCCACTGTGTGTGCTTGTCTTTGGCAGATGTGAACGGCTGGAGGATCAGCTGAATGATCTGACCGAGCTGCATCAGAATGAGACGGCCAACCTGAAGCAGGAGCTGGCCAGCATTGAGGAGAAAGTAGCCTACCAGGCCTACGAACGAGCCCGCGACATACAGGTACACACACAGACACACACACACAAGTAACGGTGTGTCTAAATGTTTAAACATTCCAACATAATAACTTAAGAACACTAATGGGTTTTAGGGTGTGTGTGTGTGTGTGTGTGTATGTCAGGAGTATGAATAGCTCAGTGATACAATAACATTCTTCTTATGTTGTAAAGCGTTAGTTGAGAAACATGTTTTAAGCCATGCAGATGTTCCAGCTTGTACTGTTTCAGTTGAGCTGTGCACCTCACTGCTTAACTAAGACTGTGTTCACATTACAGGGATGAATTCTGTATTTTTGCCTAAATGTGACACAGAATTAGGGGTGAGCAATATAGCAAAAAATATGTTTTCAAGCTACATGGTGTGTTTCATGATATTTAGTTTTTAAAAATATAAATATTTTGGAACAAACTATTTTCAGTTTTGAGAATTTGAAAATGTAGTGTTGGAAGCAGAATCATTAAGTTAAGTGACCCTTATTAGTCCCACAACAGGGAAATTTCACCTCCGCATTCTAACCCATTCGTGCAATGAAACACCACATATACACTAGTGAACACATACATGCTAGGGGTCAGTGAGCACACTTGCCTGGAGCAGTGGGCAGCCCTGTCCGTGGCTGGGGAGCAGTTGGGGGTTAGGTGCCTTGCTCAAGGGCACCTCAGTCACATACTGTTGGCTCAGGGGATCGAACCAGCAACAAGGCTGGTTCCCTAACCTCCGGCCCATGACTGCCCCCCCTCATGATATCATGCTAATCATTGTGTTCCTTTTTAAAAGTTAATTAGTGGAATATCTCATCCTTGTTAATGCATTTCAACCAGTCAGTTGTGTTGTAATGAAGGAGGGTGGGGTCTAAATAGCCCTGTTTTGAGCAATATTTCTGAATGGAGTAATTCTATGTACTATTTCATGTTTTGATTTCCTCACAATTATTTTAAAATGTTGAAAATAATAAATAGAAAGTGATTAATAATAATAATAATAATAATAATGTACAAAAACTTATGTACTTTATAGAAAATTGTATTTTGCAGGCATTCTAATGCAGAGTCCCAATAAAATGTTCTATATAGTGCAGTAGACCTGTTCTGTGAGTACATGTGTCTAGACTTTTGATTGGTAGTTCAGTCTAGATAATCAGCAGGGTCTGCAATAATCATAGCAATAGCACATTTTCTAAATTTGGTAATTAGTTAATTCCTTGTGCTCTTTTCTGATCTCCACCTCTGTGGTGTTCTGTCCTGTAGGAGGCACTGGAGGTGTGTCAGACGCGGATCAGTAAGCTGGAGCTGCAACAGCAACAGCAGCAGTTAGTGCAGCTGGAGAGCGCCGATGCCAAAGTGCTGCTGGGAAAGTGCATCAACATCATGCTGGCCATCGCCACAGTAATCCTGGTGTGCGTCTCCACGGCAGCCAAGTTCACGGCGCCATTGCTACGGAGCCGGCTGCATGTGCTCGGGACCTTTGTGTGTGTGTGTGTGCTCGCGCTGGGCTGGAGCCACTGGGAGCACGTACAGTGTGCAGCAGAGAGGATGTTCCTGCCCAGCTGAGGAACTTAACGCCTGTGTGTATATGTGTGCGTATGTGTGTGTTTGTGTGTGTGTGTGCGTGTGTGCGTGCGCGTGCGTGCGTGCGTGCGTGTGTGTGTGTGTGTGTGTAATCGTACACTGAAAAAGTGCTGAATTGAACTGACTTGATTGATCAGTTCCACATGAATAAAATATATTACGTCTGCATAGTTTTAGTCCTTCAGTTTAGTTCTGGCGTAATATATATTATTCATGTAGAAATTATGTACACATTAAAATCAAGTAAATTCAATACATCTCTGTTTTTCAGTGTAATACTGACACTGGAATTGCAGTTCCATCCTGGACTCTTCGTTACAGTCGGGCATTTGCAATGAGGAACTGTTCTGTGAATTCTGGCTTTAAAGGAACTCTTTTGTGTGTGTTTTTGTGTGTTCAGACCATAATGACCTTTAATAACGACACTGGGATTCCAGTTTGTCCTGGACTCATCACTACAGTTGGAGATTTACTACTATTAACTGTTCCCTGAATTATGGCTTTAAAAAACTCTTTTTCTGTGTGCTTTTGTGTTGGTCTACTTCTCTGCTCCAGCAGATACGGGTCCATCTCTGTAACTGTACTGTAATGGGTCCATCTCTGTAACTGTATTGTAATGGGTCCATCTCTGTTACTGTATTAGCTGTTTTGACCTGATTCACTATACTGTATTTTCTAAGGGTGCACCATGTAGCAGCGGCTAATATTTTGTTCGCTAATGAATGGAAAAATGGAATTATTATTCTTGGTCCGAGAGTTATAACTGATAATTTAGCGCCGTATTCTTACTGTCCTGTTTATTTTTAAACTCATAACAGTACAAAAAAATGGGTTCTCTAGTAAAGGCAATGGTTATATATAAATCCCTGTAAACACTAAAAACAATTTGAATGAAATGCCTTCCATCTATAAGGAAAGCCTGTTGTATATGGTTCTGTTAGGAACCTTTTTTCAAAAATTGTTCTGAATAGTGCCCAAAAGGGTTCCTCCATTGTCGTAGAACATTTTCTGGTACAATATAGGTGAATGAGAATGTCTGCTACATACATTACCACCAAACATTTTGACATTATTATTACTATTATTATTTTTCCACATTTTAGTATAATAATACATCAAACTGTGAAATTCATATGGCAGAATTATTGACCTATATCTACTGTACAAGACCCCGCCCTCCTTCCTCACAACACAGCTGATTAGGTGAAATGCAGTAACAAGAGTAGACATTCCACAAATTGATTTTTAACAAGAAATACATAGTAATCAGCATGACGTAATGATTGTGATTCCATGTAGTTACATTTTCCAACACTAAATTTTGCTAAATGAAAATTGCTTAAAAATATTTAGAGTTCATTTTCAACACGTACATTTGACATAAATTCATACATAGGCATCTATTTGAATGTTTACAATTCTTTTTGAAGCACCTTTGAAACTTAAGCATAAGCTATTCGATCAGGATGTCTTGAAGATTATGAAAAACATGCAAACAGGTGCGTCCAAACTTCTGACTGGTACCATGAGTAATTCTGAACCATAACTGAAATCGTCCAAAACAAAGTGTTAAATATTGCTTATTATTATCTGTCCCAAAATTCCATATCGGTGCATCCCTGCTATCTCCAGAGTCTCCCTAATATGTACTTACTTTGAGCTTTGTGTGCTTTGGCAGAGTAAACACAACATTTGGCTGTAACAGTCTGAGTTCAGGCATGCCAGAAATGTTTGTGTTAATACGGCCTACTTTTCCTGAAGAGTGGGAGTAGTGTGAAGCTCAGCACACACAGCTTAACATATGCACACACACTCGCCCTCTGAAACGCACACGGAAGGCGGAGCAGTGTTTGTGGAGTGAACTCTTGTGAAAATGAAATATATTGTTATATGTTGACAGAATATTCCAAAATATTAATGGGATATATTGTAATATATTTTCAATGTATTACATTTTTTGTATGGGGCAGCTTTGGAACGATTTCCACTGTGCAGAAAAAAATGAACTTGCTTTTAATTATTGTTTGTCAGAGTTTGTGGTGGGGTTGCCTTTCTAAACGAGCAAGTGAAGTAAGCTAAGCTATATGTAATGAACTTCTGGACTGTTTTAAATGAAGGCTGAAATAACTATTTTTGTACCTTTTTGAGTCTCTATTCAGAAACTATGTTGGAGCTACAGCAAATACAGTGATCTCCACCGACCATCTAATGTCTGTTTGTTGTTGTTTTTATTTATTTATTTATTTTTACATCACAAACGAATCTTTGATTGGGTAAATATTCAGAATTTGCAGCTTCACTGCTGTTTTGAAGGTCTGAAGATGCTTTCTGTTGAGGTAAAGGGAGAGAGAAGAGAGAGAGGGCTGTTACCTTGGCCATGTTCTATTCTATATTTGGGCCTTTTCTTCCTTTTTGCAGTGAGAAGAAATATTTGAATGTTCACACAGGTAATAGATGATCTGGGCTCAGCTTTTGCCCCTGATTTGAAGCAAAGCATCACAGTGAGACCAGTTCAGTAGCAAGGAACTAAATCAGTGGTCACAAGTGCCTCCCTCCAACCCAAAACTGACCCACCAGATCAAGCTGGTCTCTGACTTCAGAAGGCTGGCTTGGTTGGGTGTGTTGGACTGAATTATTTTGGAGAAAAACTCATGTTATGACGTTTTGTTTGTGATAAAAAATTGACAACCAAAAAGGAGTTGTGCCCATATAAACTATTTCCAAGCTATTACTCAAATGGAGCTAATTTCAATTAACAACATGTATACATATATATACATGCGTACATATGGCGAAGGCTTATGTTACAATGGCATTTAAAAGGCCCCTATCCTACATTTTTGGTATTTTTTTCCCCCCTAAAGCCCACTTACGATGGTGGGTTTATGTACCATTAACAGTCATAATTCATTTCTATGTGGCCATTTTTCATCTTCCCTTCATCTCCTAGAATTAAACAGGCTGTTCTGTTGCTGCTGTGCCTTTAAGACTGATGTATGTAAATGACTTCTGTTCTGATTGGCTGGTCTGTGTCGCACTTTATTCAAAAAGTAGTCCAGACTTAAACACTCAACGTTAGTGTGAATGGGCGGGGCTAAACTACTGCAGGCTGATAGGTGGAAATATGTAAATTTCAAAAACAGTGAATCCATAATGAGCTGCTTCGGTGGCTTCTTTTCCGTAGATGAGCCGTAAGGACTGAGGACTGAACGGTACATTTTAAACCTTTGTAATGATGTTTACATCCTACATCAAACATTTTTATTATTTGTTCTGCTGCCGAGTGTTTATTGTAATTGGAAATTGTATCGTCGCGTCTGCTGGTGACCACTGGACTAAATAGTAGCCAGAACAGTAATGGAAGCACGTGAACTTGACTGGATTTAGACCGTTGCTGTCTGTCATAGAGATACACTGTCGCTCTAACACAAGCTCGCCCTTAATGTAACAGGAACAAACAGCCTGTCGGTTCTCTCCAGCCTCTCTGCGAGGATGTAGAGTTTTTACTTCCCCCTTCTGGTTCTCTGCCCCAGTGGTTCTCTGGACACTGACTGTCTAACAGAACGTCATGTTCTTCACAGTACTATGTCTTTAAATCACGTTTTACTTTATGTTTTGCTGTCTTCTTGTCAGTCATAAAGATTTTAAACTGAAGTATTTTACAGTACTGAAGAAGGTGTAGCCCTGCACTCATACAGGGCCAACACATTAAGAGAACAGTGTGAAGAAAAAACTGATGTTCCCCTGATCCCAAATTAGGCGAATCAGTCAGGACATGTTGGATGTCTAATGTTTGCTTCTTTAGTTTTGCACTGAAGCTACGAGGCTAAGGTAACTTGTTAGCTAACAGCTTAGCTGGCTAATGGAAGCCGTATCAGAGCCGGTTTAGCATACTGATTAGCATAATGCAAACTGCGTGTCTAATCATTACACGCTTGCCTCAAACCACACTGAGTGGCTGAAGAGGAGTTTGATGTTTCGAAAATCTATTCTGTAATTTCTCTACAGTGCAAAAAAATTTGAAAAATCAGTGAAATTCCTTAACTCATTTCAAATAGACATTGCTGATGTAATGACTTGCTGTTATCTAACAAGGACAAAACTACAATGCGTAGCTAAAACAATAGCAGCAGCCGTTTAAAAGGTTGAAATTTTATGAAAAACATTCAGAAAAATATTTTTGCTGAAGTATGGCTTTACGTAATTGATGTAAGTTAGTGTGTGGTGTGTGTGTGGATTTGTGGAGCACTCTGCTGCCCCCTTGTGTCTGTCAACTGGAATATAACCAGCAATGAGAACTCATCTGCATCAGTGAGAGAAGAGGGAGGAAATCAGGGTTTTACCAGATGATTAACTACTAAATAGGACTTATTATATATATATATATATATATATATATATATATATATATATATATATATGTATATATAAAGAAAAAAACAAAACCAGCTTAGACCTGTGTGATTTCTTGGCTGGTCTAAGCTGGTCTGTGCTGGTCTGGAGCTGGTTTAGCTGTCACCCAGTATAGTTGACCAGCATATCAGCATTCAAAACATAACATAAACATATGCTGGTTTTGCTGTGCTGGTCTGTGCTGGTTTCTAGCAGGGAAAGCAATGAGGTCTGGAGGAAAAAGTATCCAGCATTTTTTCTTTGCTATATTAAGAAGCACATAAATCATATTGAATCACTATTGCATACATTTCCATGATGGCATATACATTAATCCAAGGTTAACCCCTTTAAACTACTGCTTCTACAAACTACTATAAATTATTCAGTAAACTAATATGTAATAAGTATGTAATACGTACATTTACATACATACATATGTAATATGTAATAAGTAATATGACTGTGAGGAATTGAAGTGTGGGAGCACATACAGACCCTTTACAGTTTATGGAATTAAATAAAGGAGACTTAAGTGTAGAAAAAAGCAAAAATCTGCTTTCTATAGGGGACCTGCTGAGGTGCTGGGAGCAGCAGCAGGTCAGGTGTGGTCAGAGGAGCTTCAGTGCAGAGGCAATGAACCTCAGATTGAATTCTGTCCAGCATTATCTTCATTCAAACACAGCTGCTCCCTTAAAAGTCATGTGGGGCTGCTGTGTACTGGTAAGAGGTGCATCTTCATTAATTAGTCTTACATGTTCTTGTGCTGATGTGCTACACATGATGTTAAATATATATTCCTTCTCTCTTATTCAGTGTGTTTCTGTGTAGAAATATTTCTCTCTGTTCTGCCTTCTGTTGTACAGACAGTGTGAGGTTTAATGGATAGTGGCAGTTGCAGTGCCGGAAGAGTGGAGGTTCTTCATACAGGACAGTGAGGAACAGGGTGTGGTGATTACTGGGATATGAAAGATGCTGCAGACAGTGGTGTGTAGAAAGCTGGGTTGTGGAGAGGCTGTAGATGCACTGAGTAGAGCTCACTTTGGACCAGAGTAGCTCCCTGTCCAGCCCTGCTAGGAAGGCAGCTGCAGGTGTGCTAATCTGCTCCTGACAATTGCCACTTTATACACTCCACACTACACACATTTGTATTCCTTCAGTTTGTATTTTCTATCTTCTTACAAAAACACAAAGGTGGCCAGTCACTGCTCACAGTACCGTTGACTGACTGAGGCTCAGTTTAGGGCTTCTAATACAGCATGTTTGACGTTCTTTTTACAAACTTGCACCACGAACTTAACACAATATGTTTATTAGCTCCTTAAATTCACAGGCTTATTAAATCCTAAAGCATAATATTCAGCAACTGCACAGAAACAATGTACGAGATAAGATTTATTAAGATTAAGAGTTATTCTTAAGATGCAGGAGTGAGGAACAGAAGGCTGGACCTGCTGATAAGTCCTGGCAATGTAATCAACTAGTAGTGAATAATGGTATTTTTTCCCCAAAATTTGTATTTGAGAACTTGGGGCAAGTGCTCAGGCTCCCTTCTCCTGTCAGACTAAAGAAAATCTGTATCACTGTTACTTTTAGTAGTCTGTAGGCGTATCATTTCATACCAAATAAACCTTCTTCATTAAAAAGTGCTTTCATAAACTAAACAGCCTATTTATTTATCAGAGGGTAAAACCATTAACAGTCTACTGTTTACTAATGATTGCTTTAACTTCAGAATCTGTCTTCCATTCATTCTGTGTTCAGGTTTTAGTAGCCCTGGTCCAGTTAAGGTGAAAGTAAGTTGACACATCCTCTACAGGGAAGAAACTTAAATACAGAATTTTCCTGCAAATTTCAGTGCTTCATAACTTTTATATATTTGCTGAGCTTAACATATTGGAAAACAATTGTGCATAAAAATGTACAGAAGTGTTTCTTTGTAGAGGATGTGTTCTTATTTTAACTTCAACAAAACATGAAATTTGGCGCCCACACTTTTGTGTACGACTGTAGATGTGTCTTTTCTTTGTTTTTGCACTTGCAACCCCTAACCACCAGAGGGCAGGCAGTGATGGCTTTCCCTCACATGGTCAAAGATGTGACCCAGGATGGCCCATACATATTTCAGTGTGACCACTTATTATCTGACAGACCACTGAGAGGTCCACTTATTTTTTATCAGGTCAGATCAAATTCAAACCAGAACCTGCAAGGAGAACAAAAATAAGACTTCAAATCATACCAACAAATCTACTAACTGTGCTATAAATAGAAACTTTGTTTTTGAGCCATTTTTCCTTTTTATACCAAATATCTCTAATGTTACGATAAAGATATTAAAAACACACTGACTATTTGCCGTCAGGTAGGAGCATCTCATTCAGGCAAACTGGCTGCTTTCAGATTACACTTTGATTATTTGAACACATAAGAAAATTAAAAGCTAAGTTAAGAAAAGCAGTTTTAAAAGTTATTTAGAATCCAAAACAATTCATAATTTTTCTCAATAAAACACATGTTCTTGATTCTCATACTGCATTCTGCATTTTTAGTCCATTTCAGTCTGATGTCTAATAACGCTGTGGTTTAAATAAGAATATTTTGACAGAAACATGTAGAAGAGCCAAAACTTCAAATACAAAAGTGACACTTTATTAATCTTTGGTCGTATAGCATCATTTAAAAATGGCACATAGTCTCTCTTTGGTATAGCTGTTATTTTCATTATACAACATTTTAATACAGTCTAGATTAACAAGTTAAATGTGGGGCAGTTAGTGGTTTGGGTGTATCATGTATGTAGGAGTAAATTCAGTGTGGTAGGATTTAGTCTCTGTTCAAGACTCAACTGAAAACTCCAATATACCAAGGGCCTCATTCATAAAACATGCATAAGCACAGATTTAATCTTAAAATGTGATATGTGAATTTGACATACCTGGAAATGATGATGAGTGTGAGTTCCCACCCTGTCAGGCATTACTGTGTGTGTCCTGTGAGCACTGTGATTTTATAAATCAGTCATGTGCAAATGCTGAAGTTTTACCTTAAAGGAATCGATTTTTCAAAATTTCTGAATTATTCATTTGTTGAGTTGTGAACAAAATCATTCAGAGTGGTTTGATGTGAAATGGTTTATTGTAGAGAAACTTCCTGACTCAGATTTCTTTATAGTGGTGATGCGGGGGTCACAATGTCTACAACACAAATATAGCCATTTTATTTATCAAAACTACCAGTGAACCTGCACCTGTCTTCTGTTTTTCATATGTAAAGTTGTTAATGGTAAAGTTGTGTTGAATCCAAAAAAAAGCTTTCTTTGGGGGCAGTGGGTTCATTACCATTTCATATAATAACTGTCTATGATGTAGCTTTCAGAGGTTTCATTAAAGTCTTCAGACGTCTGGTTCCTGTCACCACCACTTTGAAAAATTTAGACTCAGGAAGTTTCTCTAGAATCCAGCATTTCACATCAAACCATGCTGAATGACTGTTCACATTTTAACTATTTAATTACACATACATTTTGGAAAACTGGTGGAATTCCCCTTTGATTACAAATTTAGAATGAAATTCAAGTATGCTTTATAAATACGGCCCCAAGTGTTTCCCAGTCCTGCACAGCAAGGTTTGTCATTTTCCTGTTCTGACACAACCATTCAAACCCATTAACCTCTTATTCTCCAGGGGATATTTTGGTTTTTCCATCTGAATTTGCATGACCAAATCATAAGGCAAATTTTTCAGTAACTGCATGAATTAAATGTAAATTTTTACTTACAATTTACTGCTGAAAGCCAAAAATCTTGGACGGTCTTTGTATTTTTCTATAAAAATAATTTTTACAGAGTATATCACTGAAGAGACGCCGTCTGTTTATAGATTATAGTCCAGATTTGTGGAAAAATGGGTCGACTTTCAGTAGATAGTTCAGCATCTTTTATTATAAGGGTTTAAAATTACATTACCCATCTATTTGACTGGAAAGAAGACAGTTACAGCTCTCATATGACCCCCACCTTTTGAATGTAGCTTATGAAATATGAAAGTCATGAAGAATATGACGAAGTGCGTTTTGGAACCACCGGTGGTCTCAAGGAGCTGAAGAGTATTTGAACCCACACTTCACTGCTTCACTCTAAGAACTACATATATATTAGTTTCATAATAGTTCAAGGATTTGTAGAAAAAGAAACTGTAGTTACTGAATGATACTGAAGTGTCAGGATCAGCGCTGTCACTATTACTCAATTAAACATGTTTTAATCAAAATTTACCTTCTTGGTGAGCTGGCAGAGATTAATTGGTAATTTGCATAATGCACATTTTAAATTCACCCACTGCTTTCTCATACATGGATTTTTCACCACATATTGTTTTCATTGTAATTTTTTAAGGGCTTTATAAAGGCTTCCTAGTTTTTCCTAATCATTTAAAGACTATTCATAGATTATTTATGTTTATTTAAAGCCGCAATTTGTACTATAAAGTAGCATTACGTCAGGAGAAGAAAATTTGCATCGAGTTGCATTTCTCGGGATTTTCTTGGACCATATTATACATCTTTACATATTAATGTCACAAGCACGGGCTCAAAAAGAAGGTCTGGCTCGATGTTTATGATGACAATAGTAGGTCATTCACTAACATCATCAAACATACTGATGCTCAGTTCTGACTGAGTTCTCTTTGAATACTCTTTCAAAGTGCTGACAATCATCAGATTGATCTGCTCGGGGGAGGGAAGCAGGGAAGGGACGTTACAAAATGTTCTTCTGCACATTGAATGCAATTACACATTTTCACCAGAGAGGTCTCCAAATTCCCAGATCTCACATAGTGCAGGTTTAAGTCCATTGTTACTGTTTAGCTTTTTTAAAATCAGTAGATTACTAGACGACTGATATTGAAAGAGACATCCCTGTTAGTGGGCTAATAAGCCTACAGTTTAAGATGTTAAAAGGGGAACTCCATCGATTTTTCATAATGTCTGCATAATTAAATGGTTAATATGTAAACAAAGTCATTCAGAACAGTTTGGGGTTAAATGCTTCATTCTAGAGAATCTTGCCAAGTCAGAATTGTTCACAGTGGTGGAGATAGAACCAAGATGTCTGAACTGTTTAACGACTCTTAATGCTCCCTAACAGAAAATTATTACATGAAATGGTTATGAATTTGGCCTAAAATGTATTGTAATCAATTTATTTTAATCTATTCATGGTGGAGGGAGACATGAATGGGGTATAATGCAAAACAGTCCCCAAAGAAAACTCTTTTTTTCAGATTTACTACTATTTTACTCTTATCACCATTAAACTCAGAAGACACATGTAGGTTCACTGGTGGTTTTGGATAGTAAATAAAATGGCTATATTTGTGTTGAAGACATTGGGACACCTGGTTCCTATCACCACCACTGTAAAGAGATCTGAGAGGGTAAGTTTCTCTACAAATTAACTATTTCACATCAAAACAGTCTGAATGACTTTATTTATATCTCAATCACTGAATTATGCAGACATTCTGAAAAATCGGTGGAACTCCCCTTTAAACTAATGAAGTGCTTGGTAATAAGCTGATGAGTTGAGTCTGGAGTGATAGAACTGGGAAAATGCTACAATGTTCACTGCAGCTGGACTTGAGACCAGAACTGGGAAACATTTGCTTGACAGAAGACAGAAGTGTGGAAACTATTACTAATGTGCTTTCTGTCCCCCAGCACAGAAGGCTTACTCCCAGAATCTTGGTTAAATTGAGCAGAAAGTGGCTTGTCATGGTGCAGCTACAGGCAGGTGCTGTAGCCTGTAACTTTCTGGCTAAGTTCAAGCAGGATGTCTTCGGCCGCCTTCTCCAAGCGCTTCAGCTCCTCCGCGCGCTCTGCCAGAGTCCGCTGGTTTACCGAGAAATCTCTCTCCAGCTCTGAGAAAGAAAGGGAAACAGAAAGATAGAAAGTGTGTATATAGAGGGTTCTACTGAATTAGTTCAAAATGTGGTCCCAAAGTAAAAATATTTTTAAATAAAATATTGTAAGAAATATTTTGATTTGACATTTAAGTTTATTTTTTAAATAAAAAACTATTTTAAAAAATGCTGTCGCACATTTTCATGTTACTACTGAAACACAAAAAAGTATAGTCCATAGGCAGAGCCTTATAGCCACACCTCTTCATTTTAGACCACCATGTGTATGACTTTTGATTACATTGTTTGGTTCAGTGTTAAAAATGTCAATGCCAATAACAAAAACTGCAGAGTAGCAATATTTTATATATTTTCATGTTAAAATGGGGTGTGCAAGATCATTAATCTGGTGAGAAGCAATGGCCATGGCAAAATGTCACAGTACACAGTCACAGTGAATCTCATATAAGCTCACAGGAGAAAAAAAGTCACATGCATCATTTCTTTTCTTATACTTATTTATGTGTCCCCTTGCCTTAATGAAAGTGCCAGCACTGTCAGGTACGGATTACACCAGTCTCTTGACTAATGTAATTTGTCCATACTATCCCACTCAGCCACAGAGTTGCAGAGTTTGTGTGTGTGCCCTTTTCAGCATTCTACCTGCTGTTTCAAACTGAGAACTGGAATTAAAGTTTGTTGGTTTTGCTGGTCAGTCAGAGTGTTCAGCTGCGGTGGTTTTGCTGGTCAGTCAGAGTGTTCACTGAGGTGTGTCATCATGTCTGCTGAGCCAGTCACATACAGACACCTTACATTTGCCATCCTGGAATGTGTGAACGTTATGTTCTATTTGGACAAGACATACAAAGTTAATGGAAAAGTGAGCTAAAATGGAGAGGAACTCCTGACAGGATTGGCAACATCATTAAGGCAACTGAATGCTTATCCAAATATTAGTGAAGAAACGATGCATGTGGCTAATTTATTGCCAGTGATTCTTGGCGTCAATTTCTCACATGTAACACTGTAAATGTTACAAATGTTTGTACCATGGTACAAGGTCTCTGTGTTTAGCCTAGCAACCTGATGTTTTAGTCAGCATTTAGCAGGTATGTTTAATAGCTCAAATGGCCAGGTCTGCTAACCTTACTGCAAAACACAAGAGCCTTCATGTACCACAGACATGACTGAGAAGTTTGTATAAATGTGGTTAGGCTATCCACAGCAGAAAATAATTAACAGAGACGTTAAACTGACTGGGCAGTGATTTAAACCACAGTGGCTAAACAATTTTCCTTTACTTTTGAATGACAGACGCAGTTTTCTTAATGAATAAAAAAAAATCATGCAGTTCCTTTGTACTACTGAATTTGTTGAACAGCACCTATTAGACAGATGACTGACCTTAATGCGACAACAATTCTAAGGCTGAAATGATTCTCAACAGTTGTCATTCAGAATAAAAAAAGTACCAAGTAAAGTTAATGGACTGATCTTTTTTTCCGTCTCAGCTAGCTAAATTCTTTCAACAGAATAATATCTTCCTCTCCAGCCCAAACAAAACACGTTCAGCCACAGTACTACAAAAGCAAGCGTCAACTTTGACTATGCCAGTTTAGTCATATGTACACTGCGCATGTGCAAACATCTGTGTGTGTGCAAGTTTAAGCTTAATGTGTGAACTATTAACAGCGTCAACAATTCACACCAGGGAACTTGCATTACTAGAGGAGGACAAGGCTTATTAAGGAGCATGTGAACTTGGAAATACATACATATGTCTGCAACTCAGCAGGCAATACAGCCATCTCTGAGTAGATGGATGTGTGTGTGTGTGTGTGTGTGTGTGTGTGTGTGTGTTCACCTCTTAGTTTCTGTAATTTGCTTGTAGCATCTTCCAGAAGGTCCTTTGCCTCCTGCTGTAGTTGCATTGCCCTCTCACGTGCCATGGATACACCCACTGCCTTCTGCTCTATCAGTCCGCTCACTAACTTGAAGTTAGGTTCCACTTCCAACTCTAACGCCTAATAACACAAAAACACAGACACACATACACACACATACACACACACGCACACACCCCTGATCAGTGCTATTATACTACTTGAATTTGTTGATGCAGAGCACCTTATTATACTTTACTAGGGGTTTGTACGCTTTTAGCACTCAAGTAGCTCTTCACCTCAGTGACACATGTCCTTGTTCCTTGCTTTTGATAGTTTGCATTCATGTCTTCCTTCCTTCCTTTCTGTGGTAATGTCTGTCTGTTCTTTATCAGAGCTAAATTGAATATGGACCATGGGTTTTTTAATGTGGGCCAAAGAACCTTCACTAGTTTAGCATATCACTGTACAAAATTTGGATGCACATATATCAGGCCACTTTCTACAAGCAGTGACAAACGTTCATAGTATTCTAGACATTAGGCTACAGTGAATTTTGGAGGCTATGCTACAGTGAGTGACTGCTAAAAAATAAAAGAATCAAGTACTGTAAAATTGTAAAATGATGTACGGTGGTGATGTGTGTGTTTGTATGTGTGGGCATGTTGGGCAGTAGGAAACACTCAGAAGAAGGCCTAATGATCTCTGGAAACTAAAAAAATGCAGGTATGTGAAATTGTTGTCTACTTTTTAGAATAATTCTGCAAGTATTGTAGAAGTTTGGATGTCCAATCAGAATTATTTTCTTCGTGGTATCTGGGTAGATTTAGACAAGCAAGATTGGTTAGGTGTTACTTTCTAGATCAGTCATTTTTCCTTTCCTTTTGAAGATGCTAAAACCTCTATGAGAAAGCAAAAGGCAAACAAATCATGTCACTGGCGAAAGTTCGCAAATATCAAAAAGAGCGCAAATTCTCGCCATTCGAAAAACTTGCGTTTGGTGTGCAAGATATTATCAGTGTCATCAAATGAATTTACTGAATTGTGTTCAATGTATAAGGCCTTCAGGCTTCACCTGTCCAAAAACAGCAATCAAGTAACTACTGCTCTATGATGTATGGTCTAAGTTCTTTTTTGAAACTAAACAAATTATGCCATCAGTTGAAGGTTAAACAAATATGCATCTAAACCTTTTGAACTGAGCCAGACTTTATTTATTAGTGTTTATGACAGGTTACATTGATTATTGTATTATATTTGTTTGCACTTTAAGTGATCTGGTCGTAAAATCTCGGTCGGTTAAGAGTGGGCTGTGAATTAGAAGCAATTTCATAGAAGAACCACTTCAGCTCAGTCAAGAACCATTTTTGCTTCAATAGTCATGGTTTACTACCGGTTTGTGGGGTTGGGGTCTGATGCCCGGCCCCACTTCAGAAATACATTACATGGTTCATGGTAGCGAACACTCTCCTGGCCGTTTCATTTACCCGTTTGGTTTGCGCGGTGTCTTCAGAGATGTAGTCAGTTTGTCTCTTAGTAACATCTGCAATGTTGGAGGTTTCCAGAGTTTTCTCTCTGACCACACGGACACCCTTCTCCAGATCAAGCAAACGCTGAGTGCCATTACTTAACTTAAACTCTGATGCAGCCGTCTCTGACTCCACCTGCAATACAGACACACATACACACATACACACACATAGTTTGCATGCCATGAACATTTCTAACTGCAGGTATGACTGTGTCTACCAAAGGACAATCTAGAGGCCAGTAAAGAACACTAACACAAGGGCATTCGTTACCCTTGTGCATGAAGACACACAAACAACATGGTACAGCACATACAGAAACATCCACTCACAGAGGCCAATTGCTGTTGTGTGTTGTCGAGGTCACTCTTGGCTGCTTTCAGGCTGTCATTGGCTGCAGTCTGAGCATGCTCAGATTCACTTAATGCAGTCTTCACCCCATCAGCCTCTTCCTTCAGCTCGGAGGCCTTTTCACTACAGCACACACACAAAACATACAAAAAGTCACAATGCACACTAATGTTCAAACATTTGAAAACAATCAATTTGCTTAGAGGTAAATGCATAAAATCCTTCTAATTTGCTAATTCTGTGCAACTTCTTAGGTTTCCAATCATTTGTAGGAAGCTAAATTACTTAAAATAATAATAAAATATACCTTGTGTCTGGTTTTAAACTGATACTGTATTAGATGTATGAAAAGTAACACAACATTATATTATAATACTACGTGTTTGAGTTTTGTGTGCACACCTGATGGTGCGTGCCTGTTGCAGCAACCTCTCGGCTATTCGGGCTTGGTCAGCACTTTCAGCAAGAATGTTGTCCACACTGGTCAGATTTGCCACATGCTGCCGAATCTCCATGGTTATATTCTTTAGCTCATGGGCCTCCACGGGCATCCTCAGCTTCAACACCTCATCAGCCAGAGCCTCAATACGCTCCAGATTTGTTCCATCTACATACACAGTCGGATCGTCAAGTCCATTTACCTAATGATCTAATGATTTATTAAAGGGCCGATCAAATGTTTTGTCTTGGGGGCCAAATTGTAATGCTTGTGGATGATTGAAAAGACAAAACAATATACAAATAAAGAAGATAAGAAGGCTTCATAATTGAGTTTTTAAAACAATATTTTTTTCTAAATACTTACAGATACCGCGACCCAGAAGGATAAGCGGTTTAGATGATGTATGTATGTATGTATGTACTTACAAATACAACTTAAAAAAATGTGTGTAATAAGTTATATTTGGTCGAGATGCATCGTAATGAAAATCCTTGACCGAAACCAAAACTGAAATTCAACACACACTCGGTTGAAAATCAAAGCTAAAAGCTGATAAGTAAAAAACATTTTTCATAAAATATATCTACTAAAACAATTACAGAATATAGACCACAGTATGGGCCACAAAATCCAAAGGCATTTCAAAAACAGGCTGCAGATGGCGCTGTTGTGCTTGCAGGGACTCTCCTTTTAGCTTCTGTGTTTTTTGCTGTATTCTGCATATCAAGCAGGATGTTACTGATGTGTAACCAATCTGTAATGGAGAGGGTTTTGGGGTGTGGTATCCCTTCTTGATACTGAGCATGAACAGATACTATAAATTGCTGGTTTAATGTCACTTATTAAAACCCACAAATAGTTCCACACAACATTTTCACTGCTGATCTGCAACTGCTCAAACTGTTTAAACACGTTTGCACTGACCAACACAGGAGAGCCAAGGAAATAATAGTTGTCACTGTTTCTCTTTTTCATTACCATTAAAATAATTTGGTGTCATTCTCTTTCAGCCAAGAAAAATGGTACATCCCTAATATATTGGTATATATGTTTGCTCTTTCATTGGGTGAGGGGGTCATTTATGAGTAACTTTCTGCCAGGCCAAATCAAATGTTCTCATGACTTCGGCCTGCAATCCACATTTTGGGCAGCATTTATTTATAACATTAATAATACAACTAAATTTGCGAAAAAAAAAAACAAAATACACCTGTATTATATACATGAAAGTGTGTGCTTACTTGTAAGAAAGTCTCGTATTTCCTGAATTAGCTCTCGTAGCTCTTGATTGGTCTGCTCAACTCTAGCTTTGCTCTGATTGGCCTTTAGTAGGACATCATGAGCGCTGTGTTTAGCCTCATCTGCACGGCCACGAGCATCAGACACCTGTATCACACAAGGGCACGCATTAACAGAGAAGTGTAGACAGATTCTGTTATTAGTAACAGTAAGCATTAAACTGCATGCTTATTATTCCATTAATCATAACACTTATTCAATAAGCGCTATGAATTATTCAGTATCTACTATGCAATGTCTAAGATGTGCATAACATACCATAATGCCATTATATTACTATGTAATGTGACTGCAATTTATATAGCAATATAATCACATCAGTGAATTCTGGATTCAGATTTGTTTAGAGATCAGCCTGCATCGTTTATGTTTGTTGACATAACTCATTTAACGCCAACAGAAACCTGTCAGGAACATGTGAGATTTATAAGGAATGATATTCCTTGGTAAATGTCTCTTTTGCATATATTCTGCCATGTTATTCTCGGAAAAGCTTATATTACAATAACATTTAAGAAATTATATATTGTGCAGGACTAGTGAAAGCATACCATCCTGTGGAGCTTTTCCACTTCCTTCAGTGAGTTCAGGATGTCCTGGTCCAGGTCTTTAGCTTTGCTCCACATTTCACTGCTCTTCGTGATCAAACCCTGACAGTTCTCACCACCGCACTGAGGCACTCCGTCTTCACCTACACACCCCAAACCTCCACAGTCTCCACAGCTATCTGGGCCAGACACCCCACCACACACCTTCAGAGACAGAATGAGAGGGAGAAAGAAAGACAACAAAGATGGGGTTAAGGATTGCTATTCATCAATGTCACTGCTGTCATTGCAGTTTAAGATATAAATTATATGGCCGAAAGGATGTGGACATCCTGAAAAACCTGAACTCTATAATTAGGCGGGCTGTCCACATTTTGGCCATGTAGCATACATCACCTGTCAAAAGCCTGGACACATCTACCCTTTTCCAGATGTTAGAATAATGCGGACATCAAAACTATGAAATACCACATCAAATGGCAAATGAAAATTTAAAGCATCATTTTTTAGGGTATAAAACCTTTCCATTATGTGGAAGTTCTTTAAACTTTAAAAGGGTTCTTGATTATTTACAAAATTGGTACTTTAAAGAACCGTGCACTAAAAGGTTCTTTATGGAGACAAAAGTAGCTCTTTTATAGCATCCATGACAAAGAAAATATTTTGGCACCTTTATTGTTTCGAGAGTACGTACAACTTTAGTCATATAATCTTTTTAGAAGGGACAATGAAAAGAGAAACACAGTGATTGTTATGAATCAATGTTTCACATGCCCTAGATTGATACGACACCTACATCCACTAGTAAATTATTTTTGGCTGAGTTACCTGATAGCTGTGTTTTGACAGGTCATCCTGCTCCAGTTCCTTGTTCAGCTTGTCCAGTCTCTCACCCTGCAGCCGCTGCTTCAGCTCAAACTCTGCCTGTATGGCATTTAGTGTGGTCTCTGCGGCTTGCCGTAGGCCTGTGGATTGCTCCACTGGGCTGAGGGGGTCAGTGGTGGCCTGAGTGGCTCGACTCTCCGCATCCACTGACTGCTGATAATATTCTCTAATGCTGTCTGCTGCACCTGAGGAATGGTGAATTGAACACAAACATTACAGATGAACAGTAATAATGATTACATGAACATACTGAACATAAAAACATGAATAAGGTGTACTATATGTATAACCACTATTGGTGTCAATGTAGCTGCAAATTTTTCTAACATCATTAATGCATTTTCCTAGTTTGACCCTTCAAAACATCTATAGTTCCAGCTTGAAATCCAACTGCTCATGCATTCTGTATAGGACTGTGCGAAAGCAGCTCTCTCATTCAAATGCAGCTTTAAAATGGAAAGTTCCATTTATGGCTCTCTAGATAAAACTAAAGTTACACTGTGTCGTAAGTATTATTTACAAACAAAATACACAGCTGATGCTGCAATATCAGTAATTCGTTAGCAAAAGGCTACAATCGCAAAATAATTGGAACATGCAGCCACTGTTGCTCTTACTGGGTGTTGCTAATGAAAATTAGACATTGCGTTCACTTTATTTTCACATTCACCCTGAATTTCATGTTCAGTTCATATGAACCTGATTTCATTAATTTATGGAAAGCAAAAATGACATTCTAATAAAGCTTACTTGTCCACTCATATAGCTGTAAACAACAGACTGCTTTTTTAGGGTGAAGTTTGAGCAAATAAAACAAGTGAAATTTACCACAATTAACTACACAAAAAATGTAGTGTAATGTTATTAATCCCGATTAATATTTGAATCATTTGACAGCCCTAATGAGCACACAACAACAACAACAACAAATACTACTACTACTAATAATAATACTATTAATAATAATAATAATAATAATAATAATAATAATAATATATGTGAAGATTAATAAACAGGTTGAATAATACTTTACCGCGGAGGTCAGAGTGTTTGATGTGCAGCACCTGCTGCTGTTTCTCCTCTGTGCTGTCTTGCAGTCTCTGAGCCTCTTGAGTTAATGTGTTAAGCTCATCCACAGCTTTGGCATGTTCTGCAGAAACCTGATTCACAGTTGCCTCTGAACGGTTCAGAGAGTGCTCCAGAGCCAACTTCATCTCACTGTTCATTTTTATAGATAACAGTTTATTAATCCTCAGTGGGAAATTTAATTTAAGCATACAAACAAAATAACATATGTACACTGCTGTTCAGAAGCTTACAATCACTGTTTGAAATGTTTCCAATTTGATCGCAGACAAATGTAGAAATGATTGTAATATGTTAGTCGTATGCAAAGGTTTGTACAACCCTGGTCAAATTGTATGTTTTGTTGATTTTCTAAGTGAAAATAAGTTAACACATCCTCCACGGCGAACACACTTAAATTTTCCATTTTTCTGCTAATTTAGTGCACAATTTCTGTATATTTGCTGAGTTGCACAAATTGGAAAAAAAATAAAACATAAAATATAAACTGTGCCATAATTTATGGGCAGACCACAGTTTATGTATTTTATTTTTTTCCCAGTATGTTTAAATTCAGTAAATAATCAGTAATTGTGCATTAAAATTTGCAGAAGTAACATGATGGGAGGTGCCCAAACTGCAGTGCAAAACTCAAGACACTTCAGACTCTGAATGTTTGATCGATTACACAAGGGGAAAACTGTGTAAGTTTGATTTTTTGCCAATCACTTTAACTATGGGTGCTGCACAAGTTGGGCAATGGGCAATACATTTACTTAACGTTTGGTGTCTTGATGTACTTACAAACCCAGTTCCAAAAAAGTTGGGACAGTAGGTGAAATGCTGATAAAAACTGAAAGCTGTGATTAGTATATTCTGTTTAACCTGTTTCAAACTGAAAACAGTACAAAAACACAATATTTCGTTTTACCTTATAAACTTATGAACAAGCATAAATGCATCACCTGTTTGAGGTTTTTGAACATTTCATGGTGTTCCTAGTCTTAAAAACTGCCTTTTTCCCAACTTTGTTGGAATGTGTTACAGGCATCAATTTTAGAATTAGCATATATTTACAAAAAGACAATGTATTAAGAAGTACTGTTCTTGTGAAAATACATGTCAAGGTAGATGCATCAAGCATTTTACCTACAGTCCCAACATTTTTGGAATTCAGTTTGTAGAAAAGATCAAAAGTGGTTATGACAGAAGCACATGTTCTCTATGTGTGTGTGTGTGTGTGTGTGTGTGTGTGTGCGTACACATACTTGGCTTGCTGCAGTAGGTTCTGAGAGTGTGTGAGGGTTTGTTGAGCTTTGTTGTCCTCTATTATCTGAGTGAGCTGCTTGGCTCCACCTTCTAGACTGGATATTGTGTCCTGATAGGCCACTGTCACGCCGGACACTTTGAGGTCGTCCACGGTGTCCGCCAGCCTCTGAGTCTGATTGGTTAACTCTCCCACTGTTACATCCCAATCGCTGAAGCACTGATGACATCGCTGGCAGTCCGGAAATGTTCCTACATAGCCCCGCCCACAAGAGTCACAGCGCTGGCCAGTCACACCCTCCACACACACACACCTGCCTGTCATCTTGTTACACTGTGGAGTAGCAATGCCTTGTGGGTCACAGTCACACGCTGAAAGACACACACAAATCCATTCCATTAAAAAAAGTCAAGCAATAAACAATCAAAAGTTATGAATTTTTCAGGAGCTATTTCTGGAAAGATATTCCATCTAAGATATTTCACTTGCACAAGGAAAAAGAAAGTCAAAAACAAGTGAAGTTTCCAAAAGTGAAGTACAAAAAATATTAATAGATACAGAGAAACTAGGACTCCTAACAACCTTGTAAGACTTGGTAGACCACCAAAACTGTTCAAGTTTTCATCATTGAGAAATAGGAGAAAAGTAAGCTCCCCTCTTGCTTCACATCTGAGGGAAGACAACACTATGCATGAACTCAGTATGAGCTCAGCATTTAAAAGGCAATTTAGAAAGTAAATCACAATTCATAATCAAAATTCATAACTAAAAACTATTTGGATCACACAGTATTTACTGCTGGTTTAAGGAACTATTAAAACTAACTGTTAACACACTTTTAAAGTTTATAGAAATATATGCAAATTATTATTTGGCTCAGTATGAACTGTAAACATTCTACAACACATTCTTCTAATAGAAATTTAATTACTGTAACTGAACTCCTAATCAAAAAGGAATGTAAAGAAAGTCTAAAATGTGGTGTATTCCATGCATATTTAGTATATATTTTAAAACAATTCTGCTCGATAACACTACTCCAGCCCTGCATATATCTAATGGCCCCACATTTGCACAACAAAACTGGTAGGTTTGATAGGGCTGCTACCCGGCCTGAAAAAATGGTTACACTTTACTAGAACCCTGCTACATAACACTGACATAACCATGCTATTAACACAGCATGATGTCATATGCTGTGAGTTGTAATGACAGATTTTGTTCAGTAATACAACAATGTTACCATTATCAGTAATGTACGATGTCATGACAGCTTACAGTCGTATACAAAGGTTTGGATGGTAGTTTGGGAGGCATGTCATGACAATTACTGGTAATGTTAACATTACACTGTTATAGAACTGGACATCTGGACCGCATATGACATCTGCCTTGATATGTTTATGCCATGTTTATTTCACGCAGGGTTCAAGTAAATGTTACCAAAAAAATCTAAGGGACTACTTGTGCTCCAGTCTGTACATAAAACAAGGATAGAATGTGTCCAATTTGTGCCTGAAACTAGAACACAAGGCTCAAAACATCAAATAAAAAAAGTGTTTCTGTGTATGGGTGAGTCGGTGGGGCCTTGTGGGAGTGTGTGTGGGTGTATGGGTGTGTTTTAAAACAGTCAGTGTGCAAGAATGCATGAGAGACCGCTTTTGCTTCTGCTGTTATCACCATATGATGTATGAGGTAAGAGAGCAGAGATGCGTGTGTGTGTGTGAGGGTGAGGGTGTGTGTGTTCAGATGCAGCTGCATTTAGGGGATTCTTTAGGAATTACGGTGGGAATTTGTGAACTGGAGTCTCCTGAGTTTGAATTCCTATGGTTTTCAGCTGGAGCATGACCAAACCTTGTATATCTCTCCATCCCGGAATGTTTTGGTCTGAGTGTGTATGTGTGTGTGAAGGACAGAAACAAGCAAATCAGAAGAAAGAGCAGCAGTGGGAAAGTTACTGCCTAAAATAAACTCTCCCATGTATGTCAACTCTCTTCCTTTCAGTCTTATGTGGCACATTTTGTGCAAAAGCAAACACAGTGCACACATAAGCAGACAAAAACTTCTGCATTAACTGTCAGTCTTGGTAACTGACATGTGTGTGTATGTAACCAGGTTACCAAAATAATTATTTTTAAGGGGCAACTTTTGTCCTTACTGACTGAAATTCAGGGGCATTTTGCATACAAAAGCTGCACTTAAATAACAGCTTAAAGGAGTGGTTCAGCAAAAAATCTAATTTATACAGTTTCCACTTATCTTCCACTTTACTTTATTTTTCTCTGTAAATACATCCCCAGATATTTTCTTAACTGCCTCAAACTGCCTCCAGGTCTTCATTAAGGTCAGACAGACAAGTCCATGTAGTTTGGGACACAGTATGAGCTGTTAAATGCAACGCCCGTTGTCTAAAATTGCTGCCAAAGCTACACGTTGAAGTTTTGTTTATTTTTATAGTTCCCAGCAAGTCTTACTGTATCTTAAACCACATTAGCAAGGCTGCATAACTTTAATCAGGACCTAGCAGTGGTTTCAGCTAGACTTTTAATCTATCCTGACATTTAGGTCCGAACCCAAATACAGACAGAATTTTCTGAGTTTTGAGAATGTTTTGAGTCTGAAGCTGACCCAAGAATAACAAAATTTTGTCCAAGATGGACCCAAACCAGCCCATGATCTCTCAAAGTGCAGAATAAAACCTGACAGCACTGATTACTGTGTAATGACCGTAACAGTGTAGATAAATAAAATATAAAAAATATATAATAATGTGCTATAATAAAATGATCAGTTGTCCAACATTACGTTTAAACTTTACCTAAACAAATGTATTCATCAATTAATGCTTGTAAAAAGCATCAAATGTTTTTAGACTGGATAATGTTATGTAATGAGATGTTAGCTTCACCTGTTCAATACAGTCACGCTCTGCTCTTTTTGTTTTGCTGTTTTGTTTGTGTATCTGTGTTTTGTCAACTCAGCCTAGGATTTTTGTGCAGTCATTCCATGATCTAGTTCATGTCTTTCACTCATTCTTACTCATTCCAGTCCATACTCCAGTCCAGTCCTACTTGTTTCTATGTCACCTGGCAGGAAGGACAAAAGAAACCTTCTCGTCTCCATCAACAGCTTTGGCGTGTTTGATAAAGCGCAAAAATATATAATATGTTTTTTTTTTTGCCCTTTGATTAATTCTGATGCTGGTTTGCGCATCACAATATTTTTTTAGACTCACCATAGCATTTGACTTCTGGATCACCCCAGAACAGTTCTCTACACTCCTCACATGTCCTGCCACCAAAACCAGGCTTACAGGAGCATTGACCCGACAGCTGAAGAACACACACACATGCACAGTGTTCAGTACAGTAGTCTCTAGCAAATATGTATGTGTTTTCCTACTAAGACTGAAAACTGGCTGCGTATTTAAAGTGACAGTTCAGTGTTTACCCGAGATGTGGTCATGTTTGGCATCTGATGTTCGCTTTATGTTTACTTTTCAACCAATAGTTTTTTGTATAATGCTGAATTATAATCGTGGGTCAACCTCAATGTATTTCAAGTTTAAATAATGGTTGACTGAATGATTGATTTCTTTACCTTTGGAACTACAAGGCCAATGTAACTAACAAGACATGGAGTGAAATGGCACTGTTATAAGAGGAACTTAACAATTCCTCCCACCCAATTACAGTGCAGGCAATTGTGCTCTCAGGGACTTCTAGCCTAGAATAGCTGTGGCATCACTAGGAGTCGAAGAAACCTTCTTAGCCAACTGCAGCACTCAAGATCCTGCACTTCACGTATGTGAACAGTTATTCTGTCTATTTATACACACCAGCTACTTTACTACAGTCCCCTAACTCGTAGCTTCATCTTGTTGGGCCATCCTATAGCCCTTCATCCATGGTCAGTGTCTGATCACAGAGCCACTCTTGGCCAAATATTTTTGGGTGGTGGAGCACTCTCAACCTAGCAGTGACACTGATGTGTGTGAAAACCCCAGCAACACCACCTGTACTAGCATCACACACACAGCTGTGCTGAAAATGATCCACCACAAATAATATCCTGAACTGACCAACGATAAATGGAGCAGAGGGAGCTAATAAATTTTATAGCAACACATGGGTTACTGTCTGTACATCTTTTTAGTGACCTATAAGTGGCCAGTGAGTGGAAGTACAACATGGGGACTGTAAGAAAGTGGACAGTGAGTGTATTAACCAGGTTTCGATGTGCCTTTGTGTGTGTGTGGAAAGTAAGGTGTGAGTTACTTACCAGATCACAGGAGAGGCTGTAGGAGTGTGTGGGGTGGCACTGGCATGGCTGGCAGCCATCTCCACTGTTAATGTTCCAGGTATTGGGGGCGCAGTGATCACAGTGGAGTCCCTCCACTCCGGGCAGACAGGCGCACTGACCACTCACACGATCACACTCACACTCACCATCCACACAGCTGTGAGCAGCAGTGCCCAATGGCAGGCACATACACTCTAAACATACACACACAAACACATACACACACAAATAGAATAAGAGTTTAGAGGGTTTTTGTCTGAACAAACACACAGATTTTGGTAACACTTTCTTTTACAGTTTCTGTGTACTTTTATTAAGGTAAGTGTGAAGTGCAAACCCAGTACTATGTAATTATTTTGGGTGACGTGATGGTAAGTTCCGAGGCAGTCTGAATTACATTGAAATGGCTAATTTTTTACCCAAGTATTTTGAGTAAACAGTACAGGGTACTTATAATGTAAAAACATTATATACGTATATATTATGAAGAGTCTTACATAGTATGTACCTGTTTATTACCTATAAATGAAACTGAATCTAGACTGTAAAAAGGAAATAAGGACTTTTACTGTGGTTTTCCTGAGTCCTTACCATTTCCTTCAGAAAACTATTTTTGCACATTGTACAGTCAGATAATTGGCTGGTACTTGGAGGTGTTTCCAAGTTACACTGAAATTTAGTGTATCTTTGCATTTACCTTGGTAATCCAAATAACTATGAGGTATTACATAGTTATACTATGTCCTTTATGAGCTTAATAGCTAAAACCTGTTGGTCATTTCAGTGTAATTTAGTTTGACTATCTTGGTACCTATAATAATTTTAGTCAAAATAATTACACAGCACTTTAGAGATGGTGCCCCACACTTGCTCATTTAATGCCTAGAATATTTTAGCATTTCGGAGTAATTCAGTGAAACTGTCTTGGAACTTACCATCACTCTGTCCAAAATAATTGTCTAGGACTTTGAAGTTTTTACATCACTTTTACCTGCTAGATACCTAGAACTTAACGCAGTGTAAAATATAGCATAACCCTCATTTTAAACTGAAAGACAATACTGTGCTGATGTACTGTTCTACACATTTAAATCAAATTAATTCATTTTCAAAAAATGCATAACTTCTTATGTGCAATTCTTCCCTTCAGAGAAGTCTTTTGTGTCCTTGAGGACCACCCTTGTCTCAGACTGTGCACAACACAGCTGGGACTGAATCATAAACCCAGACACAGGACCCCTGAGAGCTGTGGGGTTAAAATAACATTAAATAAATAATAAAATGCATACCTCACATACATGCAGAACATGGGAAATCAAAGGACTTCACATGCAAGGAATCACAGCAAACACACAAAGGATTATACATCAGAGCCCATGTGTATTATACACTACTGTTCAATAGTTTGGAATCAATGTTTTCAATAATATAAAACCAATCTGGTTGGAGACTACTGTATGAATTGATTTGAATATGTTAAATAAATAGTAGGACACTAGAAAGGTGAAACTAAAAATGAGGAAATTTTAGTTGTGTCCATAATGATGAACACAGTTGTTTTAAAATGACTGAGAAAGTTAAACAGGATCAAGAATGAAGTTAGATTAAAATTAACATCCAGATTTCATCATATTTCATCATTTAAGATAAGGGGAGATTGACTAAAAGGAAGAGAACTTGACAAAACATGAGGTAAATAAATAATTATAATATATTATTTTTCATTTAAAAATTCATAGAATTCTTAAAATATTGAATAACACATTGAAAAATACCTTTTGGTGTCTAGTCTGTAGTATTTGCATTGTATATTTTCTTATTATATATAACATATCACAAATTGTTCGTGCCATCTGATTTCATGTAGTATATATGTAAGTATCTTTATGTAACAAGAGTTTTCTGAGCCCCTGACCCTGAACTTAACCCCAGAAAACAAAAAGAAATGTTATTTTCCATTTTTTTTTTAAATTAAGTGTTTGTAAAAACACTTCACAAAGTCAGGAGCATCATGTTGGTGCTGTAGGATAGTTTTGGTTGTCTCTGGTTTTACTACAAAGCCAAGAGCATTTTGTCCTGAAGATTAACAAAAACAACCACACTTACTCTGGCAGCTCTGAGTGCTGGCATCTCCATGGTAACCAGGGCTGCAGTGCTGGCACCTGTGGCCCTCAGTGTGAAACAGGCATTTGAGGCAGACGCCCGTGCGGGAGTCGCAGGACCCCGGGTCATGCATGTCTATGTTTCCGTTACACTGACAAGGGTGGCACCGTCCACCCACCACCTCCGGGTTGCCATAGAAACCAGGAGCGCATTCCTCACACCTGGGTCCTTTAGAGAGAAATGAAGATGCAGTGAAGCTGTTTGGGTATGTGTGCATGTAGACTCTCTCTCCTTACTTCTATATTACTTCAGGGTCATGAGTGGGTGTTTTACGCTGGGGGTGCTGACATTACTAGCAGCATACAGGTGACATACACCATGACATCATGTTAAGTACTAATTTTTAAAATTGATTTATTTAAATACATTTTACAAGTTTGGATAAGAAGAAACAGAATGTATCATGTATCACAGTTAAGGACATATGACACACCCGTATGACTTCCACTAATACACACCCTGCTGTCTCTGTTTTCTTTTGTTGGACAAACTGTATGCAAATAATCTGAGTGCTGACCAATGAGACTGTTGATGTGATATGCAGAAACCATCTGAAAATTAGACTCAGGGGTGTTAGATCTGAACTCTCCAGGGTGGTGGATCTCCTGGACCAGGATTGGTGCCCTCTGTTCTACAACTATTACCTGTTTCCCTGAATGAATGCACCATAATCCTTCATTTTCATTAAAAATAACTAATTTTAAAAAAATTTCTAGACTAAATATTCCAAGCCTCTGAACCATGTAACCATGTACAAGGCGTTGGTTTCTGAACTTGTCCCATTTTTCACTGCATGTCTGTATTTGGTAGTCATGACATTATTAGCTTCATGATTAAATTTTACCATGTCTGCTGCCGGAATGTAAAACACACTAAATAATATATGTGTATAATGTAAATAATATATACAAATACATTATATAATATAAATTTGTAATGCTTAGAATTTGAAGGCATTTATTTGGCCCCTGAACAGGAACCGTGGCCTAGGGTTGGATGCCTGTATGCTGGTCAGCAGCAGAGGAAGTTAATATGTTGATCATCACCAAAACCAGCATATGTTGTGTTTTGGATGCTGGTCTGCTGGTCAACCAGCATAATCATGCTGGTCTGTGATCCATCCAGCGTGTAATTCATGGGCAAAATTTATGCAAATTATAATCATTTTCTCACAACCAATAAATATCTTACAGCACATGGTGAAATGTTTTGGCTTTGTACAATTAAGGCAGAGGTGCTACAGTAGAGCTTTGTATTGAAACACAGAGCATCACTTTAAAATGGGTGCATGACTTGGCTACAAGGTTAGCATCATGTCACACAGCAGGCAGATGTGTCTTTACCTTTATATCCTGGACTGCAAACACAGACGAGCTGGAGTGAGTTGGGTTTATGGTAGCAGGTGTCAGCAAACTGTCTGCCACTCCCTGGGCCATCAGGGCACATACAGGGCCGACAGCGCTCCCCGCTGCCTAGCAGTGCGTTGCCATGGTAACCATTCTCACACCTAGAGAAATAATGGTGATAAAGGTTCTAGGTTGTGAGCTTTACAATGGCCAAGCATCTCTTTCAGTCACGAAAGTATTGGTGAAGAGAGCACTGAAAGACTCTACAGCAATATGACGTGTACAGCAATAAATCAGGCACTGCACTGCAAGTATGGCACATTAAATGAACGAATTTTTGCTTATATTTTGCTTTTTGTTGTAAAAAAAAATTTCTTGAAACCAGCCAAATTATCTGGCAATACAGTGAGATAATATGACTTACTTAAATCACTGAAAACAAGTAACGTCTAGAAGCAAGTTATATAATCTTATCATAAGTTTACAACAGTCTTAAAAAGAGAAATATTAGACGTATCAACTATATTTAAGATAATTTCACCTGTCAAGACACCATTTTTTGCTGGGTAGAATGAGGTTTTGCACACAGTGTTTCTAGCTTGGTCAGCCATGAAATGTATGACTTTGGCTCAAATTCTGGTTCTGGAAGGAAGTCCGTAGAGACTATGTAAATTATTATTATTGCAAAGATGGTGGTGTCCAAAACAAGTACTTAATGAATCACTGAGTAAATTCCACTGAAATTAATGCTAAAAGCTCTCTCCACATCCTATAATACCTCTATAGTTAGTCCCCATACCTCTCGCAGTGGGGTCCAGTGGTGTGGTCTGTACACTCCAGGCACTGTCCTGTATGCGGGTGGCAGTGTTGGCTGTGGCCGTTGCAGAAGCACGGCTGGCAGTGAGGGAAGCCCCAGTGGTTTGGCAGACAGTGGGCACAGTTAGGGCCATAAACACCTGGTAGACATGTACACTGGCCTGTGGTGGCGTGGCAGAAGGCATTCTGCGAGCCCAACGAGTCACACTCACATGCTGCAGGAGAGGAAATGGCAGAAAACAGACATCAGTGTAATGTACAGTAGAATGACTGAAAAAATAAAAAATATCCCATAAAGTGTTTCGGTATTATATATACACTACTGTTTAAAAATGTGCTGTAGAATGCAATTTCATGACACAAAATGGTCAAACAGACTGGTTCCACATTGGCAAAAGAGTTAGACGAGGCTGCATACTATCACCATACATGTTCCACTGAACGTATAGCAAGAGACGCAGGACTGGGGGGAAGACAATCGGGGATTCAGAACTGGTGGAAGAATAATCAACAACCTTAGGAATCAGGAAGATGTGAATGCCCTTATAATAATTTAAGAATAGAGAGAAAGGATGAGTCTTCAGCTCAATCTGAAAAAAAGGTTACGACAACAGAAAAAAGTTGCTAACTTTACCATTGTTGGTGAAGATCTAGAAATGGTGGACAGTGTTTGCGTACTTGAATCAACAAAGTTATCCAGCAGCCAAAGACCAGGATGAAGGAGCTTGAAAAGATGTAATCAAATGTAATGGTGTGTCACTACAAACGAAGATCAGAACTGTCCAGACAATGGTCTTTTCTGTGGTTCTTTATGGATGTGACAGCTTCACTATATAAAACCTATATTACCTTGGACGCCAAAGAAAATAAACAAATGGATCCTGGACCAAATCAAGCCTCACCTCTCACTCGAAACCCAAATAACCAAAACTGATGCTCTTATTTTGGACATGTTATGAGAAGAACTAATTCATTGCAAAAGACAATTATGCTTGGAACAGTTGAAGGTAAAAGAGGAACAGGACAGCCAGCAACAAGATGGAAGGATTCACGAACATGAGATGGCATAAGATGCCTGAAGACCCAAAAAGAAGACAAGATATTCTGGAGAAACACTGTCCGTATGATCACCAGGAGTCTGAATGAGATATTCAATATTACCAACTAGACACACACAGATATGTTTAGATATATCATTTTCAATACTTAGTGTTTTTGTGACCAACAAGAGTTTCCTGCCTCAAGATTTGATTACCACTTCAAATAAATAATAGAATAAATACAACTAACATGTACAATAAGTACAATAAGTAGTGATTTTATGTGTGTCATTTTGTTTATTTAACCATTTCAAAACCTTTCCTCATGGCAGCCCTGTATTTTTGTGGTTAACTTCCAATACCTGGTTTGGCTAATCAATCAAACTAACTGACAAGATTATCTACTTTTTCAAAAAATAAATTTTTGTTTCTTTTAACTGTATTTATGTTTATTCTCAACAATGTGCTAAGATGCCTAAGACATTTGCACAGTATATACTCACATCTGCAGCCGGAGGGTCCGAGCTGGAAGGTGCCGGGAGCACAGGTGTCACACTTCTTTCCCATCACATTTGGCCGACATGGACACTGCCCACCGATGGAGTCACATACCAAACTCAGCGAGCCCCTCAGATCACACTGACACTCTGTGTGTGTTTGAGTGTGTGTGTGTGAGAGAGAGAGAGAGGGGGGGGGTTGATTGCATTATGATATTTCTCATTTACATGGATTGTGAATACCATGTTGGCTGTTTTGTCTCATTGTGAGGTCTTCCTAACATTTTTAATGTTTTCAACATTTTGAGCCGTTTTATTTTTCCTTTTTATTGGATTCTGGTTAATCAGAATTGGACTTATTTTTATCTGCTTGTGTTAAATCTTTGTGTTGAATTCAGATTCAGATTTTGGATACCTGTCCCATCTTTTGTGTATCGCAGTGTATTTGACCTTGAACTGTGTTTATACCCTGACCCTGTTTTCTTCGATTGGGTTTTAGACATTAAAATGACTGTGTTTACATCCTTCTCTAGTGATTCATTAAAACACTAAATATATTTACTATGATAATTCTAAATATTGCACTGGCAATATACATGAACGACATAGGGAAAGAGAGAGATACTGAGTGAGAAAGGGAGACATGAAAAAGTGAACAGACGCCCATGGGATGGCGGTAGGCTTGAGCCAAATGACGATAGTATCATAAATTGCCAATAGTTTCTATCTTCTTTCTAACTGCTTGAGTAATTTCAATATCAAAAAGTTTGCCGTCTGCAGCTTTAAGATGCAAAAAAGTAATCATATTTGTCTTCTTTGATTTCTTTCAGTGTGCTTTATTTTAATGTGTTATCCATGTCCCTGTCAGTCTAAATATGTAGTGTGGGTTCAGAACATTCTTTCATTTTTTACCGTGGTTATGCTTTTTAAACAGATAAAGCTGTGTTGCAGCATTCCACGTACAGAACACCTTTCCTCCCGAAACATGTATGAGGGCTTAAAAGACTCTGACCTTGTGGTTACATGAATGCTAACAAAAAACAAAGGCTAATATTGTTATTAATATCCTAATATAACAACAGGCCACAGTAACAATAAAGGACGTCTACAGTAACAATATTATTTTTAACAAGAAGTGATTTATAGGCTATAAACGCCCAATTTATTAAACCTACAGTGAAAACTACCAAACCATAGCAAGAACAAAGGTAGCTTACAAGATGCTGAGCAGATGGTGGATCTTTTGTATTGTAGTTTCCTATGTTACTACAATGCATCCAGGTATTTGTCTATGTGTGTATACTGGAAGAGTGTGTAGGTGTGTGTTCTGACCCATTGCCCCCTGGTGCAGCAGGGCAGATGCACTGAAGATGTATTCTTTGCAGATGTCAGTCATAGGGGTTTTCTGGACACTCTGGCTTCGCTCTAGACAGCGGTACTTTTGAAACATCTCCCATGCTGCCTGTCGGTCAGCTGACCCTGAGAACAACTCCAAATCCCTCACCACTGGCAGCAGCACGATCTACACACAACACAGGTCATGCTAAGATTAAAGGCTGAGTGGTTGTATGTATCATCAAAGCTGGATCTTGTTACTCCAGTCAGCTCAGACTATACCTGCCTCTCTTGTAAATCACTTTAAACCACAAAAATGCCTCATTGGAATGTAAAAAATTAGTGGTGTTAATAATTTATCATGTTAACCCATTACTAACGCATACACTATGACAGCCTTGGTGTGGGTGTATTTGAGACAAGGATACTCACAGAGTCGATGAACATGTGTGGATGATGATGAAGATCACTTGATGAATAAAGGGCCAGTAACATTTCCACTGTGTAGTTCTGTCCTTTTTCTAAACACAGTGGTCTGGACAGAACCACATACCTGCAAAGACACACATACACACCCGTGCACATGTTCTCGGCAGAATATATCATTGCATAATCTTTATCCTAATACTGATCTTTGCAATACTGATATCTCAGCAATGAGCCCTCTAACCAATCACAATGTTTTTAACTGTGTGCTGTGAACAGCATCCAGAACCACACATTTTCAGATGTTTCTCTGAGTGTTTTTGATTAATCAAGGTATTCAAAACTAAATTATTTTGCAGTTCAGTCTTTAACTGTGACACATTGCTGATGGAATCGTGTGTTTCTAATACATTGTAAGGCATACTGCAATTACAATGTGTAGCAATATAACGGCATTAGGTCAATACTAGCTTATATAACCAGCTTATATCACGTTTACAAAGTAATAATTCTAAAAACACATTAACATACCATTCTAGTTTACAATCTTGTACTTATTAGTCATGTAATCTTGCTTGGTGACCTTATCTTCAAGAGCAAAGAGTTTGCTAAATTGTTGTTGGCTTCAGATGTACGTGTTTACAAATATAGAGGAAAACCTGCTTGGGTATCATCAGTCCAGCTGACATCAAACTGAAATACCAATAAAAGTGGAACCTTTGGTACTGAACTGATGGCCAGTGGTGCCATCACAGTTCAAGATACCACACACGCAGCCATGTAAGATCAACACACTGTCCATTTGAGTGATGCTCTGCTACACAGTAGGGGAATGAGTCTACATAGACAACACTGATAAAACGCATCTTTAACGGATGCCCAGTGTTTTTTTACATTTGGGCAGTACCGATATGATACTGACTCTTTTGTACCACTGCAAAGGGCTGGTGTGGCTGCAGGTTTTCATTCCAGACAAGCAGGAACACCCCCAATTCCACTTGTATAATCCATTAGTCTCAGTCTTCAACAATTGATTAGATGAGCCTATGCTTTGCTGGAATGAAAACCCACAGTCATGCCGGCCCTTTCCTGATAAGACTGGACTCCCCTGGTTTAAATAAGTGAAGCTATTAAAGAAAATCATGTGGCACGTGAAAGAGAATGAAAGAACAATAACTGGCCAAATATCTAACTTAATTTACATTCTGAAATTCAATAATATCAATTATCATGACATACACAACCTAGACTACATTACATAACGCGCTGTAGATCAGCACACACAAATGCAAACACTCTACCTGTATCCTGGGGGCAGTGAAACACTCTGCTGGTCAGCATAAGGAGGTGAACAGTGTGCAGATGGTGAGGGGAAGCCAGTGCGCACTACATCCACCATCACCTGCTCCCACACATCTGGCAACTACACACACACATAGTCACAAAAAGACATCACCACTCAGAAGCAACTCCTGCGTGTGTGTTTGTCAGAGTGTACGCAAGTGCGTATGTGTTACCTGTGGTTCGTAGCGGATCAGCAGGGTGTATTCCATTGACTGCGGCACATTGTCAATGGTGAAACTGATTTTTTCTCCTTCAGGCACGTTTGCAAAGCCAGTGCCAGTCCAGGTAGGCTGACGATCAACAGGCAGCGGCCTAGGGACAACCTTCACCTCCTGTCAGACAATCATTACACACTGGAAAAACACATCCATCGTTCTAAAGTTCAGACAGCACAGTTTATGCCAGAAGAAAATTTTATTGCTCAAATGTTGATCTCTGACGGCTCAGGAGACTTAATGATGATTCTCACTATGTTTAATTTATGTTTGTCACAGATGTTCTCCTAAAATTCCTTAGAAGAAATAACATTACACAAAAAAGAAGATATGAGATACTTCCTCACAGCATCAAAAGTGAGAAGCCTCTTAGTCACAGATGACAATTAAGAGTTTATATTATGATTTCTGTCTTTGGTTCAGTGCAGATAACATGATAATAATGACAAATTTTAGCATAGTGTGTGACTTTTTTGGGATCTCTGCTAAAATTCAAGAGGAGACACATATAAGATTACTGGCGTCTTTTGTTTAGAGGAAATAACTAAGCAGAAGGAGAATTCAGCAAAAAATCTTCTTTGTCTTTCCATCTGATCTCATTGGGCCTCACTCACCAGTACCTACCAGTAAGTTTTTTCTTAAATTTGTTCTTGAGAAAGGTCTTAGGAAAAAGTCTCTGAAAACCGCAGAATTATTCGCACCTTTGTGCTCTTGCAAGTGTGTAGATTCTGTTCTTACCTAAGAACAAATTCCATATAAGAAAACACAGATGAATGTCAGAATCTATGTAAAAAGTGAGTTTTAAGAAGAAATAAAACAGTTGGTGAATGAGGCCCAATGTTGTCTAAGAGAAATTACAAAATGTTACAGAGATCTCTCTTTTATTTATCTTTCCTATGGGTTTTATACTTATAACTGTAGTTATATTTTATAATTTAAACTTATAATGTACAAATCAAAGCTGTTGGGACAAAACCTGTGTCTCCAAAATGGTTTCAAAGTAATTCTGGGCCGTTTCTATTGGTCATATATTCCATATCTGAAAACTAAACTGCAAAAGCAGTCCATCTTGAATTTCTGAATTTTCATAATGTCATGAAAAAAACATATTAACATATTTCCACCTATTTAACCTACAGTATTTCAGCCTGGACTCCTTTTTTGAGACAGTATGCAGGACAGCCAATCAGTACAGATTGACATATGTCAGTCTCAAAGACACAGTAAAAAGTGGACCTCAGGAGAAATAATAACATACAATAAAAATGTACGATAAAGGCCCTTTAACACACTGTAAAGGGCAATGGGCATTTTAAAATTCTGTTAAAAATAGTATATTTTATTAAAAAAGTATTATTCCTTTTTTAAATGTAACCTTAATGTAAATGTAAAAGCTTTATAAAACATGTTGATTAAAAAACAAGAAACAGAATCTCTGTGGTGAGACTGACCGGTTTGAATGCTGCATCCTCAGCCTCGTAGATGTAGTGATCCAGGGCAGCAAAATAATAGCCAGACTCCACCTGGTCACAGCGCCTGCCAAACATGTGCTCTCTACACACACACTGCCCTGTCACTGGAGAACAACTAGAGAGAGAGAAAGAGCGAGAGACACAATTGCAGGCAATTATGATAAAGATAATGATGTTTTAGACAAAGATGGGGTGATGAAATTAAAGGAATAGTTTGACAAAAGGTCAAATTTTCAGGAAGTTTACTGTGACGCCCAAATTATAGTCTATCAATAAGCAGTGTGAAAACTGCATGCCACACTTGCCTTACACTTGTTAAGTAATCTCAAATGCTGCTTACATAGTTTCTGACACTGTACAGGATGTGGTTATCTACACTGTAAACAGTGATTTGGAGATTTTGTCTTAAAATGTAAGTAACTTTCTGCATTAAAGTTTTTTTTTTATTCTTGATAAAATGAGTTAACAGAATTTAACATACAATTATTGTTCTGTTAACTTATGATGAGTGCGTGAATGAATGAATTAATGAATTTAATGAATTTAAGACAACCAGTTTAAATGATCAGAATTTGTTTGCAGTGCAATATTAGCTTCATAGATCTAGTGCAAAACTAAAGAAGCAAACTTTAAACACTAAATGTATCAGTCAGGGCTGACTACGTTTGGAGCAGGGAAGAAAATTATTATTTAATGATCTGTTGCACTGTTAAATGAATAATTTGTTATTCCAATGATCTTTCAAATGTCTGCATGATCAAATAATTTAAGATGTTAAAAAACAGTGGTTTGATGCAAAATGCTCTGTTCTAGAGAAACTTACAGAATCAGAATTGTTCACAGAGGTGGTAATAGCAACCAGCCAACTGAAGAATTCAGCACCTCTAAAAGCTCCTTCACAGAAAGTTATTAGATGAGATAATTAAAAATACTCTGCTTGATGTCTGAGACATTATTTTATGCTAGTTTTGAGATTAGGTTCTTGCAAGGCGCTGTAAGGAAAAATAGAACATCAAAAAACATCATCAACATTATATATAACATCTCGTGTTGGTTTACTGGTGGTTTTGGATAGTAAATAAAATGTCTATATTTGCGGTGTAGATGTTGTGACCCCTGGTTCCTATTATCACCATGGTGTTAAGTTTCTCTACAATGAACCATTTCACATCAAACCTCTCTGAATAACATTGTGACTAATCACAGCGGAAAAACAATGGAATCCCCCATTTAAGAATGGCATGTTAGCTCAGATCCCAATTCCCACTGCTCCATGATGAACAGAGGTAGGACTGAGAGAGGGCTGAGGAGGTGGTAGTGGGGTATGGAAACCTCAGGGGAAATGGATGATATATAATAGAGATGGAAACTTGTAGGATGTTAGAATGGAAGGAGGAGGTGCTTCTTGCATGGCCCAAACTTTCTTACTTGTTGTTCAAAGCCCCGCCCAGATCACAGTCACATGGTCGGCAGCCATCCATATCATTGCTGAGACCCCAGTGCTGAGGCTGAGAGAGAAAAAAAGAGAAAAAGTAGTTATTAAACATAAGTACACACACACACACACACACACACACACACACACACACACACACACACACACGCACAGACACAAAAAAAGTGTTCTCTCACAGCACACTGGTTGCAGTATCGGCCGGCGACGAGACGTTTGCAGTAGCAGTCTCCAGTGGCTGCGTCACACTGGTTTCCTCCAGGGAGTGTGCCCAGAGGGTTACAGCTGCATGCTGGAGCCACACAGACACAAAAATAAACAGGAAGTCTTCCCCAGTTTAAGGCCCTTATAAAACAGTGATGGAAAACAGCTGCATTATTTTACGACATTATTGAGTTTGTGTCTCTGCATCCACATTTTGTATCCTGATGCATCAGATGCAATTCAGCCGGAGTCTTAGAATGAATTTGTAATCACATTCAATAAAGTATTTGGCCATTTATTATTGTTATTTTTGGACACACCATAGAAGGATTTTCTTTATTTTGACTTTTTTTTCCACATTTTAGAAAAATAGTGAAGGCATCCCAAATATGAAGTGACACATTTGTAATTATTCAGAGACCAAAAACAAAGTTTTCTTCTATGTAAGATTCTTTTATAAATTACCACATTTGTCTTTACACACTCTTAGGGTTATTCAACTAAAACCTGAGTACAGTGGTGATGATAGAAACCAGACGTCGCAATGTCTAAAAAAAAATACTGAAAATCTTTTTGAAAGAAAGAAGTCTTTAAATAATTTAAATGTCTTAAAAATATGTTTGCAGAAAAAAAACTGTTTTCATTAGGTTAAATAAATAAAAATATTAAATTCCTTTGAAATGAAAAATAACAAAGACTATTTTAAATGACCATTCATGCACTTGTGCTGTCAGGGAGTGTGGTGAAATTTGAGGTTTCTTAATGAACTGAATAAATTTACTAAAGAATCATAATTTCAATGGCAAATCTATCAATTCTTTAATGTTTTTGTGGGATTCAATCATTCAGCTGTAAACAAAATCATTCATAGTGTTTTGATGTAAAATAGTTCATCGTAGAGAAAATGACTAACTCTGATTTCTTTACAGTGATGATAATAGGAACCAGGAGTTGTGATGTCTAAAAAAAACAGTGGGAAATGTTTTTGAAAGAAAAAAAAACATTTTAAATAAATAATTATTTGCTGCTTTATGTAGCCCTGTAGCCAGTCTCTGTTCTGATAAGCTGTTGTTTACATAAATGCATGTGGATAAACTGTAACAAGGACTGCTATAGAAGCCAGATCTGGACTCTACACGCACCTTTGCACCATAAATGTATTTTAAAAATACATTTAGTAAATTTAAATACATTTTAGACCAAAAGCTCATCTCAAACCTTAAACACTTCAGACATCTGGTTCCTGTCAGAACTACTGTGAACAATTCTGCATTTTGCATCAAACCACTCCGAATGACTTTGTTTAATCTTAATGGTTTAAGGATGCAGAAATTTTGAAAAATTTAAGGTTATTTGTGCCTTTATGTATAGATGTGTGTTTGTTTGTGTGCGTGTATGTTTCTCCTCACACAGACAGCCCTGTGGGTCTTCGCTGAGTCCATAGTGTGCCTGCTTGCAGTAATCACAGCGCTCTCCCTCCACATTGGGCTTACAGCGACACTGTCCAGCAACCATACCCCTCAGAACGTCCGTCACACTGTCACACACACCGCCGTTTAAAGAGCCGCGTGGGTCACAGTCACATGCTGCAAACATACACACACACAAATGCATGATATAAATACAATCACACGATTATGAACTATTATGAAACCAATCTAAAGAAAATAAAAATTCTAATCTCATTAACTCTAAGAAGTAACGTCATTACATGTGATTAAATTACATGTGACGTAATTACATGTACAATAAATGTCTGTTTCTGATTAGCACATTGAAATGAACTGATCGAAACAGAAATTTAAACTTTCAGTCCATACAACCTTTTGTGTTTGGAGATAGAGGAGATATTTTATTACAATTTGAATTTGTTGAAAAGTTATTGTTGTGTGTAAAGTCTTGTTTTGCAGGAGAAAAAATGCGCTTAATATTTTTGCTATGTTTTTGTCATTGACATCAAAACAAAGGGAGAAAGGATAAAAGTCCAGGCTTTGATCTGTCTACAGAGAATGTAAAAGGAATTCATTATGTAATTAACTATATAAATAATTACAGTTGTATGTAAGTGTTTGAGTGCCCCTGGTCAAATTAGATGTTTTATTAACACATCCATTACTTCTGCACATTTTCATGCACAAATACTGTTGATTTACTTTAAAAAAGTTATGACACTTTATATTTTACGTTGTATTTTTCCCAATATGTTAAACTCAGCAAATAAATAGACACAGAACACTAGATTTTTGCATACAAATGCCATATTTAGTTCCCTGTAGAGGATGTGTTTATTAAACTTATTTTCACTGATGCTGATGAACAAGTATTCAGACACTTTTGTTTTTCTATTTTAAAACGTCTCCTGTGCATATATCCACTTCAAACTTACACACATAATGTTTACAGATGTTGTACTTAAAAATATGAACAAAAAAGTACATAGAGACATAAACAAAGAAATGTTTAAAAAGCTAATTTTATAGGAAAGAAGTATTCAGACCCCTTGCTGTTGTAAAATTACAGCTTTGAGATGTCTATGATAAGAGGTAACTGGCTTTTTGCAGTATTGTGGCTTCATTATGACCCATTTTTTGGACTTGCAATTTTAGAATCCTCCATAGATTTTCAATGGGACTGTCAGGACATTAACAAGGTCATGTAAGCATCTTCACATTCTTTTTTTGGGTACCAGTCATGAGTTACTTGGCTGTATGTCTGGGGTTGTTGTCTTGTTAGTACATCCATGTTCTCCCCAGATTAAGTTTGTTGGCTGATGAAACTGAATTGTCCTCTTACATCTCCCAGTACATTTCTCTATTCAAGTTTCCATCGATGGCATGTAATGCTCCTGTACTGTTTGCAGAGAAATAGCCCCATATTATAATGCTCCCACCTCTGTACTTCACTGTGAATATGGAGGTCTTGGGATCATACATGCAGCCTTTTTTCTCCAAATATGATAAGCTGAATTACTGCCATTTTTGTTTCGTCTAATCAGACTACATTGTTCCAAAACAGTTCTGATTTGTCTAAATGCTCGTGTGGAAATTTTAGATGTGTGTCTCAGTGTGTATTTTTGGCAGATGTGTTTTGCATTGATGTAGGAATGGACATGATTGTGGTGCAAATTATTGCGCCTCATTCTCCAACCATTTCTTCTTAAAACTCACTTACGTAGTTTTCACTAAGAACAATTCAGCAGTTTAAGAACACACCATGGATCTGATATAGACTTTTTCATAGGATCTTTCTCAAGAACGAATGTAAGAAAAAACGTAGGGAGATATTGGTGAATGATGCCTATCGTTCATTGTTCTTTGACTAACTAATTTTCCTGCTGCTTTCAGTTATATTATACATTGTCTGAATATCTTTTTTTATTCAATATTTCTTTGTGGACATATTCCACACTCCACACACACTTACGTTCACAGATGTGAGGGTCTCGGAGATGTCTGTTGGGGTGCTGGTAAAAGAAAGGCTTACAGCTCTCACAGTGCTGGCCCTGTGTGTTGTGTTGACAGTTATCACACACTCCTCCACTCATGTTCCCAGACGACAGATAGACGGCCATGTCAAAGTGACATTTGTCAGAGTGATGGTTACACTCACATCCTAAAACAGGCAGAGTGACAGAGCAAGAAGAATGGAGAAACATGTCAATAGCACATCTTTAAATAAATGTACAATAATTGGACATGCCTACAGCCAATGCTAAGAGCTAAAGTTTTTCTTTATTTCCACTATTTTTCAATAGTAAGAGTAATAGTGAAGACCTATGAAATAACACCAAAAGAATTATTCAGTGCTGAAGAAAATTAAAAAAAAGCTAAACTTCAATTTTAGATTCTTTAAAATAACCCCATTTCCACAGGACTAAAGATGATACAGACATGCTGACAACTTGTTAGCTGCTAAAAACTGAAAATAATTTTTGCTAGGGTTGCCATGTGACAACAACATGTGACAAGGAACTGCCATAACACCACATTCTTCATTCAGGCATGAAAACAACCATGTGCCTAAAAGCAATATATGCATAAATAATTAAATACATAATGATAACTATGCTGAAAAAACATCAAGGTGAGAGGCAAAAAAGACAAAAATAGCAGGATGTGATTGTAAGCATTGTATACTGCAGTTCTTTTGTGGCATGCTATTGCCACAGAGCAACAATTATATTTTAGCATTTTCTTTAAAACTCCTAGCAACTGATTTTTTTACTGACTTAATTGTGTATAAACATTTAATTATACACAGACTTAGAAAGGCTTTTGGAAGCCAGACCTCACCATGTGGTGTGTGTAAAAAGTTAAGTATGAAAAAATCAGACAGGAATGCAGACAGGAAGACATGATCACATAAAAGAATACCATGTTACATATTGTCGCTGTCCAAAGAAAAACGGGTCTCCATTTTTTTCGATTTTCATTTTTCTACATAATTTGAGTGCAGCACCTGTCCTCTACATTGCCTGAAAATGTCATGATGATTGGACATTTGATGATTGAACATTAATGCTCCAAAATTGCAAATTTGAATAAAATCACTTTACACTAACCAATATTAAAAGTAAAGAACATTTTTGCCTTCTCCTGAAAAGCTGTCAGTTTAGAGATACTCCTTTTTCTTTGGACAATGACTATATAAAGCTTCCCATTTCTCAAACGAAAAACCTGACTATTATATTGTTATTGCTGTCTTACAAATATTAAAAGAAAAAAAATTGCCATATGGCAACACTATGAAGTGAATAGCTAAGCATAAGCCGTTAGATCAAAATGTCTTTAAAATGATGTAAAACATGCTTTCGATCGGGTTAGGGTTAGGGCTAAACTTTTGACTGGTACTGTATATATTATGTGTACATGCTATATACAGAGCTGTGCAAAAGTCAGAAAGCACCCTTTATTTATTTAGTTTCCAGTCAGAATAGTCATTAAGAACAAGTTGCTTTCCATTTTCTATTTGTATTCAACAGATATCAGATATTCCACTTAAAGGGAAGTCAAAGGAAAAGAAATGAAAAAGCAGGAGTTTCCAAAATGGAAGTTTAAAAAATGATTTAAAGTTATGAAGAAAATGGGACTCAAACAACCATGCAAGACCTGGTAGACCACCAAAATCAAGCTCCACTTTTGCTTCAGATCTGAAAAAAAATCATTTTTCTCCCCATCCTTCCACTGTGAGAAGACAAATCAACACTACGGGTCTGAAAGGATGTGTGGCTAGCAAAAAGCTGTTACTCAGAATAGGAAAAATACAAAAAAGAAAAAACTTTGCAGATGGAAGTCCAGAGTCTGGACCCCAATATCACTGAATGTGTTTGTGATACTTGGGTTGTAAGACACAGAAAATTCAACCACTTGAACTTTGGAGGTGTTGAAAAATATGCAGGTTTCTTTGAAAAAAATGACAGCAGGTCTCCCGAAAAGAATGGAACCTGTAAGAAAGGCAAAAGGTAGACAAACTAAATACTGAAAAAAAATGATGTTATATTTATCTGTTGAGACTTCTGAGTAATTTTTTGCTTTCTGCTTTTTTCCTCATGCTATGAAATGAATAACTTGAACGTTTTGGTCATTTTGACTGGAAATTAAATAAATGAAGGGTGGTCTCTGTATTTTGCAGTGAAGGTGAAATGTCCTCAAGACAACATGCTCTGTGAGCGTGTGTGTATGTCTGTGCACATGTGTAAGTAAGTGCTTGTATGTGTGAGTGTGTGTTGTGCGTGTGTTGTGTGTATGTGTCTTATACTCTTGCACGCGTTGGTGTTTCGGCCTTCTGCCGGTCTCCAGGGCACATCTTGATACAACTCCTGACACTCCTCACAGTTCAGTCCAGTAGTGTGATGCTTGCACAGACAGAGGCCGTGAACCTGTGTGAGCACACACACACACACACAGAAACAAAGAGACCCAAAAATACACACACGTACAGTATCATAGATACATACAGACACACAATCAATGGTGAGAGTAAGAATGCTGGCTGTGATGTTGGTCTTTTTTTTTTTGATGTTGGTTGTTACTCACCATCCCTTCCTCACTTGTCTCGATTCCTCTGACTGGTGCACACTCGGAGGCATGGCCATAACAGAAGCAGCTGCCACGGACGACCATGTCGTAGATGGCATAGTAATACTTCTGTTTGACATCCTCACGGCCATCCAGCAGGTTATCACCGAGGGTGTGTAACTGTAGCATGCTCACACGGAGGTTTGTTATTCTCAGCAGATCTTCAAATGCACACAAATGAACATACATGCACAAATACACACACACACACACACACATCTTTACTGACAAGGATGTCACAACAAGAACCCAAAAATATAGATGCTGAGTAAAACACAGATGTTGAGTTTCTCTTAATGGTGATGGTGAAAGGAAAAGGTGAGATGTGATATTATTGGTTAATTTTTTTCCCACCCACTCGTGCACAGTGATGTAAGACATTTTAGAGAAGAGTAAAAGTGACTTCACTTCAATGAAAGATTACAGGAAAACAAGAATTCTGTCTTTAAAATGGTATGGTGAGTTGCGCTTAATCTGACCAAGGACATAAACTGAGAAGATAAAAGTAACACACACACCACAAAGACACATTTTCAGTCATAAACATGAGAGAATCTAACACCATACTGTACAATTTTTGATTTGACATTTTGGCCTTGGTTGGGGACATTAGGGGAATTGTGCTTAGCACTAAATTCTCACTTTGTTCATGGACTCTCTCTCTACTTCACATGCACATATACTGACACAGTTCCATTGATGTGTCTAAGAGTACAGTGACGGATTCATGCTGGGATGAAAGGGTTGCCATGGTGAAATGATGGTTACTCACTCTGTATTTGCTGGCTATAGGGGTCAGGAATCTTAAACACAGGGTCAAGAGCTCTGAAAATGACCTGTATGCACACACACACACACACACACACACACATGCACAGATTTAGAGAGACATACAAGTAGACTAGGGGTGTCCAATCTTACCCGAAAAGGGCTGGTGTGGTTGCAGGTTTTCATTGCAACAAAGCAGGAGCACATCTGATGTTTAAAGACTGAGACTGAGTTATTAAACTAGTGAAATAAGGTGTGCTCTTCTTGTCTGGGACAAAAACTTGCACCCACACCGGCCCTTTGTGGATAAGATCGGACACCCCTGAAGTAGACAATGAGATGCTAAGGCACTATAGGGTAGAACAGTATTCGGAACAATGTAGTACATAAAACATATAATATTGTCTGTGTGCAGTACTGACTTCTGAATTCAGCCAGTTCGCCAAAAATGATTTCGGAACTTATACAATGAATACCTAAAAAATTAACATGGAATGAATAAAAAATACTTAATAAACCAAAAATATGTTAAAATAATAAATAATTATTCTGTCAGCTGTCAGATTTAGTTTAGTTGCCTTCATTCCAAGGACAGCTGCTGTATAACAATTCAAGCTCGCTTTTATTAAATATGAAATATGTAAAGATATATAAAGAGGCTGCCACACCAGCACAGCATACCGGGTAACTCTGTTGAATGAAAACTGCTGAAACATAATCACACAATTTGGATTCAATGTTTATGAGCTAAATTTTTTTATAAGGGAGAAAGGGCTGTCATGGTCATTGGGACAGAGGTCAAAGAGGACAGTCTTGGTCAAAGTCCCATAGTTAACTGACCCACCCATGCTCTGCCCATAAATGTATTATGTTTTTTTGTTAACTAAGCTAATGTTTGCATGGCGGCAAATTTGTTGTTTCCAATTTACCCCGTCCAGATGTTAGCATAGCTTTTTACACTGAAAGTTCAAATTTATGTAGCAAAAAAAAAAGTTGAAAGTGTGTTTTTTGTGAGTTCGGATAATGCCTTATGGTTGTAGTGTGAGAAGAGACTGTGTGAAGACAGGATAGAACTCTGAAAACTGGCTGGAGTTCTGGAGTTTTAAGCTGGAAGGTCAAAATTCAAATTTAATGTGATATTAGCCCACATTCTGTAAAGAATGATGATAAGTCAGTTAGGTTTGTAAAATATTTGTATATTGGTGTGTGTTACACACTTCTCCTTCTGTTGAAGGCTCCATGTCAGAGTAGCGTGAATCGCAGATGACATCATCAACATTGATGACTGGACCCTGGGAGATGTATGGAAAGGATGCGGAGCAATCGGATGCAAAATAACGGTACACCTTCCAGCTCTGGCCATGATCTGCTGACCGCTCGATCACCATTGCTGCAGGACGAAATGTCTTTAAGCAAAACACATCACAGATTAAGACCTTATGTACATGGAATGAGTCCAACACAGCAGAACAGTTCAGATCATAACCTCTAGTACATTTCATGGGTAAAGGCAGCATCATCTCACAGCAAAACTCCTGATGGCTGACAGCCAATCTCCCTATGACGGGTGAGATTAAGCATAAGTAATTGGATGCTATATCATCATTATCATGCTTTTCTGAACATATAATGATATGAGTTACAAAGTGGCTTGCAGAAGAAGCAGTGAGAATGGCAGCTTAGTAAAGCGCCCTGACGAATTTAGCCAATTGTACGAATAGTTAGCAATCAGCTGAGCTTGACTTTGTGGCCTGCCTGAACTAACGCTATGCCCAACCTATCATAAAAAAGGTTAATAGAGACCAACTTGAGAGAGGTTGTAACATGACACTGGTATATACGGCATGATATGGATACATATGATGAAAATGTGATATAAGCATTGTGCTGTTGTATTTTTACAATGTTGTCTACGCTTAGCTGGGATAGAGCAATACTATCCACACCCACACACACAAACACCTCCACACACACACCCTAACACACATATACACATTCACATTGAGTTTGAGCAAAGTGACACTGACCTTCATGAACTGCCCTAAAAAGCTGAAACAAACTTACATTTATGTTCTACATTCACAAGAGGCACTACATTCCTGAAGTAGAGGGTGGTGTGTGCACTGTCTGTTTGTGCATTCGCTGGGTGTTACCTTAAAGGTCATGATGATATGTGTGAAGTGGAATTCAGCCTCCAAGTCCAGCTGAATGGTCACGTTCTCCTCTCCTGAAAGAGATAGAAACAAAGAGTTCAGTGTCTACGCTGCAAAAAATGGTATCTTGGCAAGTGAAATGATCTCAAGTCTAGTCAATGAATCTTATATTTCTTATTTTGAGACTGCTGTAGCCTTATAAGATTATTTGCCTTATTTCTAGAGTTCTTACTTGTTTTAAGGTGTTTCATTAAGTCAAATTATCTCCTTATAGTATTTTGGATAATTTTGCTTGTTGTAAGACATATGCCTGAAACTAGCCAAGTTATCTGGCAATACAGTGAGATAATTTCACTTAATAATATCACTTAAAACAAGCAAAAAAAATGTCTGTAAATAAGTTAAATGATCTTATAATAAGGTTAAGATACCAAGATGCCATTTTTGCAGTGTGAAGCGTAAAGCTCTTTCAGTGAATACTGATGAGAATCTCTGATTTCAATCCAGTATGAATCTGCAGTGTGTATAGTTTTACAGTAATACTTGTAAAACAGTCACAATTGGAGTGATTTTAATCCAGTATGTGAACAATGTGAAAATGAACCAGCACGGCTTCTGTAGCAGGCCTGTGTTACAGTTAATCCAATTACATGCATTTATGTGAATGACTTTAGTCATAGGCAGCACCTCGGAACCGAGACAACAGGGCTAGAAATCAGGTCAGAAAGCAAATAATTTCACATATTTTGTGATATTTTCACAGATTTTCTACTGTATTTACTATTTTTGGTCTGAGTAGTGAAGTGACAATATAGCTTGCTGAAAAAAAGGAAAGTTGATGATGACAGTGTTAAAAAACAAAGGAACAGAGAACTGTGTGTTTTTCTTCCCATTTAAAATTAAACACTGATGCGTATCATCTGTTCAGAATCTGTGGCGCTGGCCAAAAGTGGAAACATTAAGTGGTGGCAAGAAAATGACCCTTTTCTTTCAAAATATGTTCTGGAATTTGATTTATTTATTTATAAACAATAGCCAATGTCTGCACAATGTTACATAATACATAAAAAAATCAAGGTTTGTCTAAATATATTTGATGTGTCTTATTTTATAAGTGGCCTGCACTAATCATTAATGGTTAAGCACATAAAGATAGCGGTTCTGGCCATTCATTTATGTTACTTTGTTTATCCAGATCTTTGTAAACAATAAAAAATTGATGTAACTGTACCCTCCCAGGTTTTATAGTAAACTGAACCTATTACTAAAATGAGACCTAAAAAATTCTCTCGTTAACTGTAACAAAAAAATTACAGTTTCCAAAAGCTGAAAACCAAATGAAAATGACGTTCACTGCATAACTAGTTAAATCTAAATAGAATTACTCAGAAAACAAAATTAGTTTTAGTTTTTTCATTGCGTCAATGAGAGTTTAGACGTGGATTCCGTCTGTGTTCTGTCTTTAAGGAAAGCCAAGCCGACCACTGTTGTGACCATTTTATCCTATCCTTATCAAATACCCTATCATAAACCTAAAAGTTGAACTTAATAAAAAAACTAAACAAAGTTACTTTCAGAAAATAAAAACAAGACTAAAACTTAAGACTAACTGAAACTAAATTGAAATCAAAAAGTAGAATGAAAAATGCAGCAAAATTAAACTAATAAAATTAGTTATAATAACCCTAACCCTAATAACCCCGGCCTGTACTACGGTACACCAGCCATTTATATCACACAACCCTCTCTGGTAAAACTAATCCAGCTCCTACACAGATTTTTGAGTTTTTCATGAAGACGTGATGAATAACATAGCTGGAGTGTAGAAGGCTTCTCAGTTCTGTCCACACATTCTGACACATTCAGCATAGCAGATTTAAAATCAGTGCTTTTGCCAGAAGACATACAAAAGACTGTTAGTATGACAGAGATGAATTCTCTCTGGTATAAGGGGATTCCAAATTCCAAACACACCATTCATAATTGACCTAACTTGCAGAATTAGTGACGGAGTGCCATGCTCATGAATCCAACCCATCTGCACAGTCACAAATGTGGTCGCTAGGGAAGCAGCAGGAAAGCTAGTTCCCACACCCAGCTGCAGTGGTCATCCTTTCTCATACTCTCTCACTTTCTCTTGTTCCCACCATTTCCTCCCTTCTTTTTTTTGGCTGAATTTTCTCTCTCCTCCCCTGGCCAGGGTCACTCGCCAGGGGACACTGTGCATTTCCACAGGAAGTGTGCTCTGTTCGAAGTGTCATTAGTGTGTAATGTTGTGTACCTAGTGCTTCATATCAGTGTGTCTAAAGCCCTATTCAGAATGAATAGGTTTATCACCTGTAAAAATAAATTAGATCTTTTTACACAATTTTTACAATGTACACAGTTTCCTTCTACCCCATACGCAGATCAGACAAGACATGTTTGGCATCTGAAGTTTGCTTCTTTAGTTTTGCACTGGAGCTGTGAGGCTGATGTAGCTAACAGGTAATGGAACTCTACCACAATAATAGCGTGATGCTAACTGCAGGTCTAAATCGTCACACACCTCAAACTATGTCGAATGGTTAAGTAATTTCAAACAGATTTGCATATGTGGTTTCTGACACTATACAACATACTGTGATCTATAAAAATGGACCAAAATTCAGGCTCCAAGATATTTACTACTGTTTTTATTTCTACAGATAACAGTACTTCATAAAGGGTAAGAAACCACATAATCAAGTCTATATGAGCTTATGTAACAAAATTATGCTGATGGTGTTTTTCAGTTTTTAACATCATTTGAAAATGCCTGTTGCCCTTTACACTGTGTGTAAATTTCCTAGGCCAAAAGAAATGGCTGAAAATGGCTTTGAAAGAACATTAAAAGGAAAGTATGTTTTTTCCTTCTTTTGTAAAATTATCATTTTGGAGATACATTTAAGAGAAGGTTTTGTTCTGGCAGCAGCGATATATGTCTAACACATACTAACACATGAATATGTTGCAGTATAGTTGTATTAGTTAACACATTAAATGTTTGCTTTTAAACATTAAATTATTTTAATACGTCAGGAAACAATATTATCACAGACTTAATATTTTAATGATTTTACTGCATAGTTTACAGTGTGCATGCTTTCAGAGTTTTGTTAGATGCATGTGAAAGTATGTGAAAGAAAGAAGACGCATGCATACTCTCACTTCATTTAAAAAAGTATGCCAAAATTAAATGTAGTTCATGTATGCTAAGCTATTTAGATTCATATCCAAATGTACAGAGTCTTGTGTACGTAAGTTTGGGCAACAAAAACTCAAGTATATAACATAAAGCATATATGAGTAAAACATATCATCCATATATGAACAATGTTTTCTATCATATATGGTTTAATATGGTGTTGCTAATGTATGTTTGTATATGTTAATATATGGTTGAAGTATGTGTTCCATATTTGAAACTGGCCAATTTCAAATAAGTTGATATATATGTCACATATATATTCCCACGCAACTAATATAAGTTTGACATCCAACATAATATAAGGGAAATCCATATATATGCTGATATATGTCACATATTTGAAATTCATATCTTGCCATTTATCAGATTTCCATATGAGTAATTGGTGGGGTAAAGGCTTCCATAAACTTGTTAGCCACATTAGTTTCATAGCTCCTTGTATTGTAAAACTAAAGAAACAAACTTCAGCCACCAAACATGTCTCGGCTTATTTGCTGCACTTGGGGTATGGAAACATTTTTTACTACACTATCACTCCAACCCCCACCTCCCACAAATACAAACACCAACAAGAGCACTCTCACCGTTCTGGGACTGCCACCATGTCTTGAGCCTGTTGGGAGTGAAGGTTGTGACCACGTTGTCGATGGTGTGGCTGTTGGGGTATGTGTACTCATTGTACTTCTCTCGAGAGTCACACACAAAACACTTTCCAGCCTGAAGACAGATAGAGAAGAGCATTTATGGATCTGCAGAGAGTCTGTAGAACAGATGTGTTGGCTTTGCACCTGTTACTCACTCTTTCACATACCATCACGTTTGGAAACACCAAGATTTTCGCAGTGTTGTGAAACATGAGCATGCCTTCGTTGTCGATGTAAGAGAACTTACCATGTTAAATATATAGAGCTGTTTATATCCTGCCTTTTTTTGCAATAACTACAAAACTCAATATTGATACTGAAGTCAATACTGAAACCTTGAGTATAGGCTGATCCTGTTCTGATATTTTTGCTTTAAAACTACAAAGCTTTATTGAAGCACTTCATTAAGGATGAGCATATAAACGTAGGCTATCACGATTAAACTACTCAATCACTCTGCTACTCCACAGGAAGAAACACACAGCTAACAACATCACATCACACAGTGAGTGTGTTCAATTTCACGATAGATTTGTTACAGGATTTGATCAGATTCATTCTTTTTTCCCTTCGATATCTGAGGCAGGATTTGCTGCTGATATTACACAAAAACTGATATGCCATCTCTATTTTTCCCCCTTTGTTGTGCACTCATCAGCACTCAAGCCATACAGGTGCTTAAACCACCTCTGGGCTAAAAGAGTTTCAAAATGTGCTTTTAATGATAGTTTGGAAAAGAAAACTGTCAATTCATTATTTAGGCAAAAGCTTAGGAAGACATTTTGATGAACATGAAGCTTAGCGTGCACACTCGAAATTAGCAATGAGCTATAAGGATATATTAACACAATCTTTGCAGGTATTTGTTCCGTATCTAATAAAAAAGTAAGAATAAAAATAAAGGAATCATCGAAATTTCAGCCACCAAAAATTTTCTGCTGAAAACAGCTTAAAGTGGCACTTTCGGCTTTTGGCTAAATTCTAACATAGCATCTGAGCTACAGCAGATAAACAGTAAAACACAAAATGGTTCACTGCAGCTGTGCTCTATATGGTCTTTAACTTTGGTGCATTTCAGCATAAACTAATTTATTGAAATTCTTCAGTAGAAATCACTTCAATATAACTGAGTAGCTCCATCTCTGGGTGATAAACTTTTTACCCCTGGTTTTGAAAGTTGTTACTGCAAACATGAGCGTTCATTAAATCCTGCTGAGGTTTCTAGCTGTTTCTTCTTTACATGGTGAAACTTAAAGCAACCTGAGTGCTAATAACACTTTCTGCTGGAGAAACTTCTGACTGGTAGGCATGAGTTCCAAAGCCACATCCAGTCCACATGCTTTGCATATTAGAAAACTAGGTGTTTTCTGTCATTATAGTGGATGCGCTTCGGAATTCAGCCTTAGATGTTTTTTAGGAGACTTTATATATTGAAAATTATATTAGAAGCTGCTTAAAATCTAATTAGTTCTCTTATTCTCACAGTTCTCTTCCCAACATGGCAGCATTCTGGGCACTGTTACGCTAATTCAAAGGAATAAATAAAACAGCACATGATAAAAAACTCTTTCTTTTGGTTTTCGGTTTTCAGCTGAATCTGTCCTGAATTTCGGGTTTGGTCGAGAATTTTTGATTTGGTGCATCATTAATGAAAATCAAATGCCAGTTGGAAATTTTTAAAATAAGGCTAAATGTCCACTTACTTTTCACAGGCAGTGCTAATTATTCCACAATTGCAAATGTTCATTTAACAGCTGTTAGCATTACTGCACATGCAGTGGAGAGAATACAGATAGCAAGTGAATTTATATATCAGAAATAAATTAAAGTATATGTGCATTCCATCAAGATCAGAGCCCTCTACCTACTCTCTGATCATAAGCCAATCACAAACTGACATTTATAACTTAGCCTTAGCCTGAGCTTCTCCCCATGCCTACTCTGCCTCCTCAACACAAACATACACACAGTGGAACATTCTGGGCTGTGTGGGCCACACAGTCGTGCTAAAGAAGTCACGCAGAGTCCTGAGGGGACTGGGAATATTCTGACAGAAAGACCATCCTCAGAGAAACTCCCATCAAACACTCTACAAAGGGAGTGATTGTTGGTGAGAAAGCGGATTTTACAGTGGACAGAGACACTGAGGTCTATGCTCACATGCACCCACACACACACACACACAATGATGCTTTCTGTTTCCATGCACAGCAAATTAGAGAAAGGAAATCAAAGACAGATTGCTGGAGTGCAGTATATTATAATAGAAGATGGGACGATGTCCACTGGCTTCTGCAAACAACCCCCAACATCATGCAAGATCACAGGGGCTACTGTCTTTGTCGGGACAAACATCTCCATCGTGAAAAAAGCACAGAAGATTCAAAGGAAAGCATACATTGAGTTGCTTGAGTTGCTGGTTTATTGACACCTACCTTCTACCTACACTCATTAGCCATTTTATCAGAAACACCTACCATGTTTATGTGCTGTAGGAGTACAGTAACTGACTGTAGCCCATCTGTTGCTGCACAATTTATCACCCCCTTCTACTCTATTCATCAATGGAAAGAGGCTGCTATAGGGCCACTACTGACCAGATATTTGGTTGGTGAAGAACATAGCGTCCATGATTTCCATGAAGAATTTTAAATTTTGATTCGTCGGACCACAGGACACTTTTCTAATTCGGCTCAGTCCATCTTAAATGAGCTTGGGCCCCGAGAAGGTGGTAGTGTTTCCTGGATCCTGTTTATATATGGTTCCTTTTTTGCATGGCAGAGTTAAATGAGCTTGGGCCCAAAGAAGGTGGCGGCGTTTGTAGATCCTGTTTATATATGGTTCCTTCTTTGCATGGCAGAGTTTTAACTTTTGATTTGTGAATGCAGTGATGAACTGTGTTCACATATGGTGGTTTTCAAAGTGTTCCTGAGCTCATGCAGTGATTTCTACTACAGAATTGCTTCTCTGTATCTGATTTTAATGCAGTGCAGCCAGAGAGCTCGAAGATCACAGCTAGTCAGTGCTGATTTTCGGACTTGTCGTCTGCATACAGAGATTTCTCCAGATTCTCTAAATCTTTTAATGATATTATGTATTGCAAATAATGAAATTCCCTATAATTCTTGAAATGTTGCACTATCTATCTGTGCAGTCTTTCACAAAGCCCCCTCCTCATACATCTGAAAGACTCTTTTTATGCCCGATCATGTTACTGACCTGTTGCCCATTAACCTAACTTTACTAGTCTTTCGTTGCTCCTGCCCCAACTTTTTTGAAATGTGTTGCGGGCATCAAATTCACAATAAGCATATATTTTTCAACATCATTGCATTCTATTTTTATGTTTACATAATTTTTTTATTTACAGCATCCCAACTCAACCCAAATTTCTTTTATTTACAGCATCCCAACTCAACCCAAAAACAGTTCATTTTGAAGCTTAAGTTAAAATTTAAATTTAGATCAGTTTCAACTGATATCCAAGGCATGAGTACCAGAAATGAAAAAAGTGGTATTGTGCTGTCTCTAGTTTTTAAACACTGTGTACACTTTTAGACACACCTATGTTCTTGGCACACCTTGTACAGTTAGAGACAACAGCCAATCTTTCCATGAGCATATTTTTGGTTTGGTGGATCATTCTCAACTTAACAACGGTGCTGAGGTGTTTAAATATCCCAATACCACACTTGTACCAGCATCCCTCTCGCCACATTCAAATAACATCTGGCAAGCAGTGATCTTGTGGTGGTCCTTTTCTATTGATGGATGGGGTAGAGGGCGGCTAATAAATTATACAGCAACAAATGAACTATAACTGTAAGCTACAACAGTAACTGTAAACAGTGCACAAACACAGTATGTGTTTCTGCTAAAATGCCTAATGAGTGTTGGTACAAAATAGGTGCACCTAATAAACTTGGTTTTTAGAGGTATATAGTGCTTTTCCTGCATGTTACTTACGATGCAGTAGGTCTCTGGTCCATTTAGGCCGCAGGTGGATGAGGCTGTGAGCTTGTGAGCTCTGCCGATCAGCAGGTCCCCAGTGGCTGGGTAACAGCTCCCCTCTGTACATTTATCACTGTGGTCAGGAAAATACTGAGCCAGGACTCCCAAACCCAGAGCTAAAAGACATCAAATATTTACATGCTGTAGTTTTGGAAACTGAGAGAACAGGATAAAGGGGCACAAACACACAAAGGTATATACATTTTTTTATGTCTTGTCAGAACATGGGGTCATACATATATCCCAAACATATTATACACTGTCGCAGTCAGAAACCTTGTATATCCAAAATGGTAATTTGTTCAAGTAATGGGCCTTTTCTAGTAGTCCGTATATCAAGAGTTTTTAACACAAGGTAAAAAAATGGAAGTTTGTGTGCAACAGCCACAATATGTAAGTACCTATATGAAGCAATGATATGTCCCATATGCATTAAATATATGTAGATAGATATCTACATGAAAGATGGACAGCTTTCGCCTGCTTGAATCAATTATTAACCACAAAGGATCCAGCAGTCAAGAAATACAACACAGATTGGCCCTTAGCAGAATAAGGATGAAAGAACTTGAACAGATAGCCAGTCATACATGCCTTGCAGAGAGGTACAGTAAAAATGCCCAGGTTTACACTTGCACTGATGGAGCTTTATTGGGCTTTTGCCGCATCAAGATATTCCAGGACTTTTTGTGATTGTAATCAGTTTGATCAATGTGCTATACCAAGACGAATAAAAAAAATGAAAAAAGTGACTTAAATTAGCATGTACTCCGTGCTAATTCCATACAAAGCCAGAAGTCTGAAAGAAGGTCTGCCCAGGCTTTCGGTTTCACTTGCATCAGAGCTGCTGTAAAAGCCAAATGATCTTGTGAAATGTGCACAAGCAGTTGCTCTCTGAGCATGTTTTGGTTTCCACAAGCACTTTGGGCGCCAGGCAGAAAACCTGCTTTCAATTTCTGAAATGAGCATCACATGGGCGTAATGCGCTTATAACCAGAAGTGGGTAGAGCAGTCTGAAACCACCCTCCAGTGAAAGTATTGTTAGTACAATTAAATGATGACTCAAGTAGAAGCAAAAGAACCAAAAAACAAGTTAAATAGTAGCAGGAAAAAACTCCTCCTCCAGTACTAACTTATAGAGCTTCAGTGGAACTATTTAGTACATCCATCAGCTCTCAGCATAGGAAGTTTGTTAGGCTCTTTTCATCTCTTTTTTGGATCCTTTGGGTCTCAAATATAAGGCTAAAGCTCCAAAGTAAGACCTGTGAGCAACAGTAAAGCAGTCCAGGATGAAAAGAATTAAATTAAACATAAAAAAGTAACTGGGAGCTCAAGGTGAAGGCCTAAAATGGAACGGAGGAAAATTAGATTCCTTTCCTCACAAAATACTTGAGCAGAAGCTTTATCTTATGAAAATACTCAGAAAAATACAAATGCGGTACATGAAGGGAAATTCCACAGATTTTTTAAAAATTGTACATAATTCAATCACTGAGATGTAAACAAAGTCATTCGGAGTGGTTTAATGTGAAATAGTTCACTGACACAGAAGTCTTTACAGTGGTGGTGATAGGAACAAGCGGTTGAGAAGTTTAATGTAATTAGCTTAAGGTAAATATAACAATTTTATTTACCATCCAAAATGACCAGTGAACCTACACATATCATATGTAACGTTGATGATAGTAAAATAGTGTCTCTGGCACCAGGCAGTGTATTCATGATCACTTCATGTAATAACTTACTGGGAAGGAACTTTTAGAGGTATTAAACTATTCAGGCGTCTGGTTCCCATCACCACCACTGTGAACTACTCTGACTCTGTGAGCTTCTCTAGAACAGAGCATTTCACACCAAACCACTCTAAACTGACTTTGTTTACATCTTAACCATTTAGTTATGCAGAGATTTCGAAAAATCGGTGGAACTACCCTTTAAACGCATGGCACTGACTAAATGGAGCTGTTTACTGCCAACATCTGTATGTAATGCTTTTTAAAATCAGACATGCATAACTAATGTGAAACATTACATTCACACCCTTCACGTGCAGACTTACAGATGTGAAAACAGCATCACAGCTCAGTCGGTCAGAAGACTGAGAAATGATCAACAAAGTTAGTGTCTGGTCAGAATGTTAAAGTTGAGGCTGCAGAGAAAGTCAAAGTTTACAGCTCTGCTGAGGCTGTGAGGGTTTATTTTTTAAAGAATGTAGAGATGAGGACTTACTCAGAATGGTGGCAGCCTGTAACATCCACATCGTTGTTGCTGTTAAACTCTGTCTCTATTAAATCTCCCTCAGTGTGCATGAATAAATGAATTAATTAGGCGAAGTACGCGGTCCATATGCCATTTAACTGGCACTCAGCGCAGAGGAGCTTTCAGTCACGATAGCCCACCCGCAGCTTCCTTACAGCTCCAGCCCTGCTCCTCACAAACAGCGCTGCTCCTCTCGCTGTGGGCGGGGCTTGTTCACTAGCACAACTGTGTTTAAACTCCCCAGTCGGAGATCTGATGTATATACAAAAGTATGGGTAAGTATCAAGTATTGGACATATATGCATTATATATGGATCACATATATGCTGTCTGTCTGATATGTCATATGTCTAAAACATGAATCATACAAATATGCCTGATTGACAGCATGCATTTCATGCTGGTCTAAGATGGTCTATGCTGGTTTATGCTGATCTGGTGCTAGTTTAGCTGGTCACCCCAGCCTGGTCATGCTGGTTGACCAGCATACCAGCATCCAAAACACGACATATGCTGGTTTTGCTAGTGACCGGCAATGCTGTTCTGTGCTGGGTTTTCTAGTAGGGAAATATGACAATATAAGTTGGATATAAATTAAATCCATGTAAGCTAACATAAACCATATGGACAAAAGTATTGGGACACATACACATTATACACACAGGAGCTTTTATAAAATCCTATTCTAAATCCACAGGAATTAATATGGAGTTGGTCCAAACTTTGCAGCTATAATAGCTTCCACTTTTCTGGGAAGCTTTCTACAAGATTTTGGAGAGTGTCTGTGGGAATTTTCACCCATTCATCCAGAAGAGCATTTGTGAGGTCAGACACTGATGTTGGGCTAGAGGGCCTGGCTCACAATCTCTATTCAACTTCATCCCAAAGGTGTTTGATGGGGTTGAGGTCAGGGCTCTGTGAGGGCCAGTTGAGTTCTTCCACACCAAACTCACCCAGCCATGCCTTTACGAACCTTGCTTTGTGCACTGGGGCAGAGTCATGCTGGAACAGAAAAGGGCCTTCCCTAAACTGTTTCTACAAGGTTAGAAGCATACAAATGTCCAAAACGTCTTGGTCTGCTGAAGCATTAAGATTTCCCTTCACTGGAACTAAGGGGTCTAGACCAACCCCTGAAAAACAACCCCATAGCATTATCCCTCCTCCACCAAACTTTACAGTTGGCATAATGCAGTCAGGCAGGTAACGTTCTCCTGGCATTCACCAAATCCAGACTCATCCATCAGACTGCCAGGTAGAGAAGTGTGATTCAGCATTCCACAGAATATGTTTCCATTGCTCGAGAGTCCAGTGGGGCTGTACTTTACACCACTCCGTCCAACGCTTGGCATTGTGCTTGGCAATGTAAGGCATGTGTGCAGCTGCTCAGCTGTGGAAGCCCATGCCATGAAGCTCTCAGCACAGTTTTTTATGCAGATGTTAATGCCAGAGGAAGTTTGGAACTCTGCAGTTATTGAGTCAGCAGAGTGTTGGCGATTTTTATGCACTACGTGCCTCCGTACTCAGCCACACACTCTGTAAATTTACATGGTCTGCCACTTTGTGGCTGAGCTGCTGTCATTCCTAAACACTTTGTGGATCGTGGAATATCTGGGAGTGATTCAATTTCGTGAACTGACTTGTTGCAACGGTGGCATCCAATTACAGCATCATACTCAAACTCTGAGCTCTTTAGAATGACCCAATGTTTTACAAATGTTTGTAAAGGCAGACTGCATGGCTAGGTGCTTGATTTTATACACCTGTGGCAAAGAAACTGAATGAAACACCTGAATTTAATGATTAAGAGGTGTGTCCCGATAATTTTGTCCATATAGTGCATGTCATATATTTGAAATCCATTGCCATATATCAGATTTCCGTATGGTACTAGCTGCTGTGTGCAGCACAAACACAAAACAACGTCTGAGCAAAATCCTTAAAAGAAATATACACTTCATCATCAGTTTCTAGCAATGAGGATAACACTGTCATAATCTAAGTTCAACTGAGTTGTATGAAAGGATGGACGAACAGATTTGGCAATCTGGAGTTTGGCTTTCAGGGCACGTTCATATTGTAATCAGCTTTTGGTTGCACAAAGGCTGATGTGTGATTCTAGAGCCTGTCTGTCAAACACAAGGCCCACAGGCCAAGCCAGGAGCGTGACACAGTCCTATTCGGCCTGTGGAATAATTTGAATTCTATATTATTATTAGCCTGTTTCACCCTGAGATGCACTGCAGTCTCCAGCCTGTACTGCAACATAATGTGCATTCTGACCCCCTACAATAATCTCTGGGGCAGCAGTTACACAAAAAGAAAAGATGCCTGGTGTGTAGTTCAAGCAAACAGGCAGTTTTTAAAAAACTACCTAAAACAATTAGATATTATAGATAATAGATATAGATAATATTTAGAACTGTTTTTGAATAAGTATTTAACGCCTATTTTGCTGTTGTAGTTTTGGCATTTGAATAAACAATTGCCTGTTCGGGTCATGGCAAAATGTTAAGTAAAAATGAAATAAAAACACAGCTGGTTCACGGATTTGCTGTGAATTGTTCAATATGGGCCTTTTAGTGGTTGTGTTTGACAAAAACGGGAAATATTGCCCTCTACCGGCGAAACATTGCTACTACGACGTTTCAAGGTGGACCGGAAAATTCTGTTAAACGAACAAAAGGCCCAATTCAGCCTCGCATTAGAAGTGAAAATATATAGTGAAAACTCTCTTATAATTTGTTTGAATGATTTAAAACAAGAAAACTCAAATGCACAGGAACTGGACTGATTGGCGAGAGAACAAGAGAACAAATTCTCCTGGCTTTTGAGATTTAAAGAGTACTCTAAAGATCTAAATCAGGGCTGCCCAAAGTGTGAGCCAAAGTTTATGAGGACACTTCATCTGGCCTTCAGTAAAGTTACTCTAAACCCACTCCCTCATCAATGAAAGAACAAACATATTTTTATGCTTGTTAAATTCAATTATCATTTTCCCTTCATAATTGCCTTTTTAAAGTATTTTTCATCACAAAACAGTGCATGTAACAAAATGTTGCAAAACAAAATATTTTAAAACCCGATTTGAACACTACCTACCTAATATTTTGTCAATCTGGCCCCTGGCTCACCATAACCCTGTACTTTGGCCCTCAAAGGCAAAAGGTTTGGGTCTAAATTAAAATATAAAAGGTAAAAAGTATATTTACTCTTTACAAAATGTGAATAAATATGCAATTATTTAATTTCAATAATATTCAAGTAATGCACAAATCTTCAAATAATACTTAAGTATAGTAATGTAATACTGTTACTCAAGTATTTTCCATTCCTGGGTAAACACTGGTGCTAGCAAGCTAAAAAGTGCACTGACACAAATGAAAATTTAGTTAGAAATATACATTGGAATACATGACTTATTCACTAATAGCCAGGAGAAATCTTTTCGTGCCTGCACTGGAGTAACAGGTACTGTCCTTTCAGATGATCTAATGAGCTAATGCTAACACATGTAATAACCAGAGGAGTGGTAGATGATGATGGCTCACCTTCTACATGGTTCCTCAGTGGAGGATGTGCCAAAATGTTAGTCAAGGCAGCACTGAGAACAGAGGAATATCTATTCATAATTTTTGGTTCTAACGGTGTTAAAGAAGTTAGCCTACTGCTGTTAGCACAACTGCTAACGTCTCAGTCACAGCCTTAACAACGTGTCCTTGGCAATGCTCTCACACATCACTGTAGAAAAGCAAAGTGCATTACATGAACACTATTCTTGCCAAAAGATTTAAGTCAGCTGGTGTTCGATTGTAATCCATCCATATAACTTGTAACTGAAGTCATGTAGATGATCTCCAGTAATCACAACTGAAACTTCTCAATGTAGAATTTTTTCTTAATAACACAATTCTTAAACCAAATTCTTTGTCTTTAATGTCTCTGAGAGGCTCCTTGAGGAGAAAATTGGGAGATTAGATAAAGCAGGGACTCTAAAGTCTAGCCCCAGGGCCAAACGTGGCCTGCAGACAGATTTTAATTGGCCCATGGCTTCTGTTTTAGAGTGTGTTATAAGTATTGCAACATATCGCAGATTTTCCTTTCACTTGATGATGGCAGGAGTACGGTAAATATTATAGTGTAATGCACCTCACTGTGGTCACAGAGTTAGCTAAAGTTTAAGAGCCTTTCTTCTCTGACTAGACCTGCAACTTAATGTACTGAATCACATTTAGTCACGACTACAGCCATAAAGCATAAACTCAACACTGAGAACCAGAAATTCTGGTGAGAACGAAATTTAAATACTTTTTCATATGCCTCATATGTCAAAGGACTGTAATGAATTAAATATCAATGAAACAAAGTTGAAGCAACTGCAAGCAACCCAAGTCTCACAGCACCAACTTCTTATCAGAGCAAATTCACTAATTCATTAAATGAAATACATAAAAAAAGTTAACTTCTTAAGGCAGAAACCAAATTGTGGATATTTTTGCTGTTTAATCTGCTCTTCTTGTTTCATAAAGTGACTTCTGAATGCAGTTGTTGCATTTATTTGATATGTAAAAAACCTTTAAAATAAAAAACAGATTACATTACATTACATTAAGACAGAATTTGATTATGTAAGAAACATTTGAACATTTTCAGAAACAGTACATTTTTTAAGAAAAACATGACAACAATTATTTGTTTAAGAATTAATTTAAGTGAATGTATGCTTGGTTAAAAAAAACTAAATTTAAAACATATAAAGGAATAATGAACACTAGTTCAATAGGAAGTACTTCCTATTTTAAGTGTTTTTGTATATTTTAAGTGTTTTGTATATTTGTATTCACTCATAACTGACACTGTCTCTCTTTGTAGTTAAATTTCATAATAAAAACATTCAGGATTTAGATTAAAATAGGTTTTTAAGGCATCAACGTTTAAATTACTGATTGAGGATTAAATCCATTCTGAGATTTATTTATACATCACTTTTTATAACGGGTGTTGTAAAAAGCTGCTAAACAGAAATCCGGGTCCAAGCCGGAAAAACTCCCAAAGAGTAAAAGGAAGAAGCCTTGAGAGGAACCAAGACTCAAAAGGGGAACCCATCCTCCTCCGGTCGACACCAGATAGCAAAAGAAAAATACAACGAGAGCGATTTGAAGAAAGAATAAGATTTGACATTCATTTAATGTATCTTGTTATAACTGAACCCTAATTATTTCCTATTTATGACCACCACACCCTCACATTGCTTCATTTCACAATCCGCCTTTTCAGTCTATTAATAGGACGTTTGTTAGGAATCCTGAGCTGTTAGTACACGATCAATATTTACGTCTGAGATCTACTGATTTTACAGATTTTACTATGTAGTGTTGATGAGATTTAAAGATTCAACAACGACTGTAAATTATCAGCAGCTGACAGAATAAAATCACCTTTTATTCCCAGATTTAGTGACAAAACTATTAATTAGTCTACAATGTAAGGAAACAGCAATGAGTTCCTATTTTGCTCTTTTCAAGTAGTTTAGATTATTTTAGAAATAACACTAGTTGTACTAGATAGGGTGAAAGAAAAGAGTTAAAGAAACAAATGTCAACAGTGGGAGGTTCCTGGGTCACTGTAGAGTTCTTTGGCCAAAAGTCACGAAATATACACGAAATAAGAAGTTTAGGCACCCCTGGTCAAATTAAATGTGTTGTTCATTTTCTCATTGAAAATATTTACATACCCTCTGCAGACAGCACATGTCTGCACATTTCAATACACAAGTACTATTTGGTAAATTTTATTTACTGGAAAAAATGTGGCCTGTGCAAAAGTTATGGCACATTTTATATCTTATGTTATTTTTACAATTTGTTAAACTCAGCAAATAAATAGAAGTTCTGCACTAAAATGTAATTTGATGTAATAGGATGTAATTTGACTGGGGATATTCAAACTTTTGTATATGACTCTATATGCCTGAAAGAAAAATACCACAATATTACACATCCAGAAGAGATATGATTAGTGGGTTTGATGGTCAGTGTGTATCTAGTGCAGTCTAATAGGATATCTAACAGTCTAATAGGATATCTAACAGTCTAATAGGTAGTGCAGTCTAACAGGGTTTTTTTTATGTCATTCGGTCACTTTATAAAGATCTTATCACAATAACAATCAGTATCATATAAGGCTGATACTAAATGAGTTATCTACTAAATAATGTGAAGAATAATAACAATTACACTTTTAAAAAGGCCAAACAGTAAAAAATCTTCACAAACCATATACAGCCTTTCATAAATTATAGATGATTGCAAAAAAGATAAAACTATGAAGCCTTATAAATGAATTGGTTTTATATCCTTTAGGACTCAGCATTCTCTAAACATGCACACTGACCCTTCAGACTGCAACAGATGCACAGATAAAGGAAGGAATGCATGTTATGGAAAGAAAGAGGGCTGCAATCTACACTGAGTGAACAGAACATTCGGGCCACCTGCTTAATTGTAAAACATGCTGCATGTGATCAGATCTGAGTTACTACACACCATACAGTTATAGACCCACTTTGGGACCACAGATAAGGCCTGTTTAGTCATTAGAAACAGGTCGTTCATAAAAGAGACCAACGGAGACTAACATAGACAGTATAAGACATGCTACAATCAGACAGTTAAATTCACATTGAAAACCGTGGGCTGAACCGTGAGATTAAAAGGCTGATGTTACGAATGTTTTGTACATTCAGTGTATATGGAATGAAGATGGGCTGAGCATAAAGGAAAGTAGGAAAAACTGGAGAAGATAAAATAAAAAAAAGTATGGAAAAGGCAAAGAGAGATGGAAGAGAAACAGAAGATGAACATGCAGACAAAGTAATGGGCCAGATGGTCAGTATCTGTTATTTCAAGGCACTGGTTCAGATTTTTCTGGATTCTTCTCTCAATGGTCAGGAAGCTTCCCTGAAAAGACAAACTTAAAAAATCCAACATAGGTAAAAATAGGTTGGTGCAATGAAATAATCTAATTTTAGATTTTAAGACTTTAGTGGGTTCACAGGTACTGTTGGATCTTTCTTACATATTCCTGATGATAATAAATTTATATTAAACCTAAATCCATAATAAATCAGAGAATCCAGCAGCACCAAATGTGCCAGGGGATGATTAAAGGGGGAGAATAGAAAAAAGAAGGAAAACACATGAAGTATAGCTACAAAGGGAAGAAACAGAACAAGAGAGAAACATGGGCATTAAATGGTGGTCCAAGAAGCTAATTCTGGAACCATTTCCACAGGGGACAGAAGCAGAAACAGCTCCTGAAACAGTAAAATAAGAAAAGTATTTTAAAATAATGTTGATTACTGCACATTCTTAATTATACTTCTTATTTCTTACTAATATAAGCCTTTTAAAATATTTTTAAGGGGAGAGTTATGGATATCCTTACTTGCATTTCTTCTTCCTTTTCTTCTTGGCTGCTTCCTTGGAGGTTTGTCCTGCATGCAGAATGAAACTTTAGGAGTTAAGCCACAATGGGCCTCATTCACCAAATGTTCTTGGACGAAATTTCTTCTTGAAAAAAAAAACTGTTTTCTCATTTGAGATTTGTTCTTAGGTAAGAACAAAATCAATACATTTAAAATCAGAATCAGTGCTTGATTGGCCAAGTACGTTTGCACATAAAAGGAATTTGCCTTAGGTTACACAGCAGCTCAAAGTTACACAGTAAATAACAGTAAAAGCTTCACACTTAAACAGTAACACAGACATCCTTACCTGAGTTCCACCACACCTGAACAGTCCTTACCTAAGATCTACCACACTTAAACAGTAACACAGACATCCTTACCTGAGTTCCACCACACCTGAACAGTCCTTACCTAAGATCTACCACACTTAAACAGTAACACAGATATGCTTACTCGACAATTTATAATTGCTATCATACTTCAGGGCGTTTTTAATGGGTTGATATCACAATGTAAAGGATGACCAGTGTACTTTCAGGTCGAAGGTGACTAAAGGCTGATTCTAAATGCATTTGATGCTTTCCTAATGGGACCAAAAGGTATTCTACAGGAAACTAGTGGTCTCTATTAAAGACCATTGAGCCAATTCCCATTAGAAAGAAAAACCATTAGGTTTTAATCCTAATAGTTTCTAATGTCCTTTTTCAGCAGGGAAGGTTGATCTCCTACTTCATACTAATTCAATTCTTTTTGCACAAATATTTAATTCATTTAATCATATTCAGTGTTTTATTTTATCCCCAATAATGTTCCACCCTATTTTCCTTTATTGCCGTCTGCTGTAAGAATGAACTCAGCCCAATCCTGGTTCTGGAAATCTACCACTTAGACATTCTCCCAGCCTACAGTCAGATGTCCCTGAAAGCCTTAATTACCTGGAGCTTGGAGCTAAACTCTGCAGAGAGGCAGATCTCCAGGATCAGGATTGAGTTTTTTCCTTATAATGGGTTTAAACTGGGAAGAAAAAAGCTTAAGAGAAAAATGTTTACTTTCTTTTTGGATCACAGGTTCATCCTTTCAGCAGTAGATAATACTTACGACCAGCAGTAGGTGAGAGAGGTTTGATGTTCCTACGTTGTTGCATTCGTACATTAAGCCACTTTAAGCTTGTTTTCTTATAATGGGTTTAAATGAAAAGGAAAAAGACCTAATGTAGAGATGCCACATTTTTAAAAATGGCAACTAAAAAGCTCAAACTGCCACCTACATTATTAATACTGTCATTTATTGTAATGTTGCTGGGCAGTTCATGAATGCTATAAGAATAGTTCATGTATCAGTAGATTTTGTTATTTGTAGAGACTTTCTATCAATCATGAAAGCTTCAGTAAATGTAATGTGAGTAAAACATAATAATATATATATAACAAAATATCTTTTTTAAATGTTTATTAAATATTTTTAAAGTGCATTTGGCCGCATGTGTGTGTGCGTATGTGTGTGTGTGAGAGAGTGTGTATGAGTGTGTGTGTGTGTGTGTGCGTCTGTGTGTGTGTGTGTTTTAATTTAGGTTCTTTAAGTTGTTCAAATACTATGTGTGATTCTTAGGTCTTCTGTTTTTGGTGCTTCTTGTCTTCAAGTTTCTTTCATTCCTTTCTCCTATGTAGGCTTTTCTTCATTCTTCCTCTTTCTCAGCTCAAAATCTTGCACAAGTACATTTCTGAAACTGTTTTCCTTTGTTTTCTCTCACTGGTGCTGTTCTTCCTGAAAGAGGAACTCATTTCTTCATTTTGTCTCTTCTTATCAGCTGGGCTTATGCAGACCTTCAATAAATAAGATAAAGTTGCAGGTTATTTATTGTACACATTTGTGTCATTTCATTAAAAATATTTTCTAAATGTTGTCATATTTCTGAGCTACACCTGACTGATTTGCTTTAACTGAAATAATGTTGAGGAGGAAAAGGAACGGAAATCTGAATTAAAATAGAGGTACTAGCTCTATCAATAATACAGTCATATAACATTTACATTTAAAAAAAATGTGGTTAGTTACCAGGCTACCATAAAATTTGTTTTTGAACTTCAAACAATATGTTGACAGAGCATGAAGCAGATTCAGTTAATTTACTATTCAAAGTTCAGTGAACTCAAACTATTAAGGTAGCCTGATAACTAGTTAAGGTTAAAACCCCAATTATGCAGGACTTTAACACAACAAGACCAAGAAGAGACCCTCGAACAGATACTTGAACAGATCTTCCTCAGTTTCTTCAAGATCTGCTGTAGGATTATTATCATTATCATTCAGGCTGTTTCTCTGTGATCAATAATACAGCAGGTTATGCCTTTGCATCCTATCAGCCTCTATCTGGATCATTAAAGATCCCTCACTCTCTCTCACTTTGCTCTCTCAACCGTCTTCTCACCTCCTTCTCCTCTACATTGCTCTCTTCCCTCTCTCACTCCATCAAACTCTTGGCTTTCTTGTTCTCCTCTCGGTGCTCTCTGCTCCTCCCTCATCTGCTCCTTCTTCATCTGTGTCTCTCCAACTCTTCTTTCAGCACTGCAACAAAGCATTACATTACATTAGACTGTCTGAATGTTGAATATCAGGTTAGATTTATTGTCATATGTATTCAGAATACAGAGCATTCTAACAATCGATGTTGAATATCGCAATCATTTACATATTATGCAAATTATCATTCTTTCATTTTCTTTCACAGGATTTTATTTCTATGACTTTATTTAACTCTTCCCTCTGTTCAATCATCCTAATCTATGCTAGTTTAAAAATGACTACAATAGAAAAGACTGCATTTAATTATAGGCTTTACAAAAGTAGCATTTGGAAAGAATCTGACAGATTTTCATGCTGGAAAAATGCAATTTAAATAAAGAGTCTAAAGTAGAAGAAAACCGCTCTCTAATAAAGAGGAAAATTGAAAACCTTGTCCAAAAGACATACAAGGTTGGCAATATTTTGATTTCCGAACAAGAAGCTAGTCCAGCCTGTGATTATACTCTGATTATATTACCATCTACAAAATTCAAGCTGTAGAGTAAGACTCTGTAATGTTCACATGTGGTACTTTTTTGTGACCCAATTTGAATCTCAGTGATATTGTTTATCTCGATAATTCTGGAGGCGACCATCATCATTTGTTTAACTGTTAGACGAACGTCGAAGTGAAGCCTGGAGCCGTATTTGTGAAAACAGTACTTATCTATATACTACCTGAAAAGTTTTTGTAGTAACATTTGTTACACCTGTTACTTGTATTTTGTAACAAGCACTACATTTATGACAAATTCGTTTTAGGTTACCTCATACATAGACTCTCCAGCAGGGGAACCCTGAAGATCTCTTCTACAAAGAGAACCTTGCTTCCAGATCATAAAAACAGGAGCAGATCCTTGAAAAGATCTCTTCCCAGCAAGAGCAGATCCTTGAAGACATCTCTTCACAGCAAGAACGGATCCCTGAAAACATCTCTTCAGTGCACGAGCAGATCCTTGAAGACAACTCTTCAGAGCAAGAGCAGATCCTTGAAAACACCTCTGAAGAGCGGATCCCTGAAAACATCTCTTCAGAGCAACAGTGGATCCCTGAAAACATTGCTTCAGAGCAAGAGTGGATCCTTGAAAACATCTCTTCAGAGCAAGAGCGGATCCTTGAAAACATCTCTGAAGAGCAAGAGCGGATCCTTGAAAACATCTCTGAAGAGCAAGAGCAGAGCCTTGAAAATATCTCTGAGGAGCAGATCCTTGAAAATATCTCTGAAGAGCAAGAGCGGATCCTTGAAAACATCTCTGAAGAGCAAGAACAGAGCCTTGAAAATATCTCTGAGGAGCAGATCCTTGAAAATATCTCTGAGGAGCAAGAGCGGATCCTTGAAGACATCTCTTCAGAGCAAGAGCAGATCCTTGAAAATATCTCTGAGGAGCAGATCCTTGAAAATATCTCTGAGGAGCAGATCCTTGACCATATCCTTGAACAGATCTCTGAAGAATCAGCAAAGATCCTTGAACAGATCTCTGAAAAGCCAGGACAGATCCTTGAACAGATCCCAGAACAGACCTTCCTGAGTCTCTTGGTGATCCGCTGTAGGATATTATCATTCAGGCTAAATCGTTGCATCCTTTCAGTTTCTATCTGCCTCATTATTGATTCCCTCTCTTCATCCATCAATCTCCGGGCTTTCTCCATCTCCACTCTCCTCTGCTTCTTTCTCCTCTTTTTCTCCTCTCTCTCTCTCTCTTCCTGTCTTCTGCCCACTTCTCTCTCTATCTCTGCTCTGACTTGCTCCATGATCTCCTTTTTCAGCTTTGCAGCCTTCCTCTCCTCTCTCTTTCTCTCCTCTCTCACCTCTTTCTCTTTCTGCCAGAGTATCTCTTCTCTCACTAGGGCCAGAATATCATCTTTAGTCATTGTATCCTGTTTTCTTTCATTCTCCTCTCTCTCAGCCTTCTTCCTCTGCTTCCTTATCTCTTTCTCAGACACCTTTTTATTTCTTTTAATGGTGTTCCGCGCCTCCTCAATCTTTCTTTTCTCTTCCTCAATATTCCTCCACTCCTGATCTACCACCATCCTTCTCACGTTCTCCTGGCTGTCCATTTTCCCTTTCAGCCTTTTGAGTTGTTTTTCAGCCAGTCTCTCTCTGTAGGCCTGAATCAATGCATTTTTCTCTTTTTCTTTCTCAAATTCCTCTTTTTGTGCTTCAATTTCTGCTTTCTGCATCCCGATGTTCTGCCATGCCTTCTCTATCTTTCTTGTGGTCTTGTTGAAGATCTTTCTTTCCTCCTCAAGCAGATGATCACTTACTTCCACTTTGATCTCCAGTTCTGCAATAAAGCATTACATTAGTCAGTCTGAATGTATGGAATGATATTCTCTATTCATCAGAGTCGTCTAAGAACGAGTGCAGATTTGAACGACGAATGAACTACATCGTGTCTGGTACATGAAACAGTCATACAACGTCACAACAAGCAGTGATTTCAGCACAAATGATGAATCAGCTTTAGTGTGTGGAAAGGAAACAATCACCCGTGACTGTGTAGTGTGATTATTTTCATAAAACACTGGCTGCTTTGGCTTATTACTGCAGAATATGAGAGGCTTCTACTACACTAGGTAAGACATAAACCATGTTTTGTAGTTTGAGTGGTAGTTATTTACTGTATCAGCAGCACAAAGCAAAAGCACAACTCAATATGTCTTTAAACATTAATGTTAATAATCACAGCATTCGTTTATATGAGAGTGTAAAAATACATCCACTTCTATACAATAATTTGCATAAGTACAAATTAGTACTGTCACTGTTCATTTCTATTTATATTGATTCTCAGTGGTATTGCTGATGAAGCTGATAACAGATTTGATTACTTAACCAACAGTCAAGTATTTTGATGTTAAAATGTAGTGTTCAAATCTACATTCACTCTTACTAGACATGAGTTTAATCGTTCAGCTAAATTAACTTGACCAGTAAAAAAACTGTTGGTGAAATTTGTGTCCGTTTGATGAATAAGCACCATTAAACCTAAACGTTACTGAAAATATTCAACATGGAAATGTATAATACATTAATATTACTGAAAACAAGCCTCCTGAAGATCATTTAAATTTAGACCTACTGTTCTATTCTATTGCCAATTATTTCATTATATTACTGCTATATTATTATTATATTTTATTGTATTGTTTTTCCTAAATTATAACTAATATCAATTAACAACCAACCAGCTGAAGCTACATTCTTCCTTTCGTCATTAGCCACCATCTTTTTCCTCACGGTACGTTAACAGTAAATCATTTGAGGGGGTTCTCACCATTCACACGTTCACTAAACGTTCCTTTTTCCTCCTCCATTCTTTTCTTTTCTGTTTTTCTCTCCTTTTTTACACAAAGCGCCGCACTGCTGCTTCTCAACGTCCACACCAAACCTAAATGACGAACAGCGACGACGGCACTGTGAGGTATTTGATTACGTCATAATGACGATGGCGTCAATGGCTCATAATAATAAGAGAAATATATTCACTAAATATCAGGAGCCGTATGGCATATTTGAAATGTCCCTGTATGGATTTATTCAAAAATACAAATTCATTATTATTACTATTACTGTGCTTACTCACATTATTTAATTATCACGATTTTTATTAAAGTATTATTTTATTATTTATCTAGTTATTAGTTTTACTTTCTGCCGCTACAGGAACTCTTTTCTCCATTGTAGTGATGGACAGTGTAACAGGTGCACTAATATACATTTAAAAACTTCTCTAAGCGGTAGTCTGAAGGTGGTGGTATGAGGACTTTTATTGTGTTGATGAACTTTTTGTTCTTAGACTCGCGGTTTAGTCCTGCAGTGTAAACAGCTCTCCATGCACAGAGCAGAGAAGCAGCGGATTCACAACACAAACACACAGCGCATCGCTACTTTGTGGTCCCTGGAAAAATAAAATCACTGTTAAGATGATAAAATAAAGATCTTCATGGAAGATTTATTCAAAGAAACACGTCCATGAGAGTCTGAGTGTAGCCGCTGTGTGAACTATTACAGGAATGTTCAGGAACAGTTTCACTAAAAGATACTGAAAAATAACGTCAACGTTCCCCGAAGAACAGAACTATAAACACACCTTAGACACATTCACAAACACCTGAACACGGACAGCTGATAAACAGTAATACTCGGGGCTGAATACTGAGTCTCTCACCTTCTGAAAGTACACAACACACTGTCAGCTCCAGACTCTACGGACACAAAACGGTAAACTAAAGAGCGCCACCTTACGGCGCTCAGCCGAAACTGACACCTACATTGATGATAATGACATGTTATTGTAATGTAACTGGAGGGTTCATGAATGCTATAAGAACAGTTCATGTATCAGTAGTTACTGTCATTTTCACAGATTTTGTGTCAATCACGAATGATTTGTGAACAATAGTAAATGTAATCATCTTTTGAGTAGACCTACTGTGTTCTTTGTATTAAAGGCTATTTATTCCCTGAATATATGTAAATTGATTTATATCCACTTCATGAAATATACAGTAACCATCATTAAGTGTATTTTCTAACTATTATATGATGAGATCACTATTAACAAATGTGTTTAATGAAAGACTAATTCTGTAGGTTGAGCAGGAGATTATATATATATATAAACAAGGAAAAAACATGTTTACAAGTTGTAAGTGTTCTTCGAACTTGTGGGAGAAATAATGTCTCAATGAAGTGCTGCACAAAGTGAGCATGTCACTGCTGTCAGAACAAGACCTTGTATCTCCATTTTTATCGTTTTTCAGTTTTTGACATAATTTATAATACCTTTTGCCCTTTACAATGTGTCAAAATTTCATGATGAATGGACCAAAAGAAATGGCCCAAAATTACCCAGAAAAAAGTCTGGTTCCATTGATTTACAATGAAAGTCAAGAATGATTTTTCCTTCTCCTGTAAAGTTATAATTTTGGAGATATGAGGTTTTGTTCCAAAAGCAGCAAAATACTTTACTCTTATTTGTTCTCCAGCTTTCTGAATTTTCAGCCTCCACTGTCTAATTTTCAGTTTTCTCTGTATTAAGACATTCAGCCCAAAGAGGTCACGTAACCTATGTGATGTCTGTGTTTTCTGTGCTGACTAATCAGATTAAAAGGAAGGCAGATCTTCAGTGACCGTTTCAATTTCTGTGTTACTCTGAACTGTCTGATTTCATTTAATCATCACACATTTGTGTGTTTTAAATTGGAGAAAATTAGGATCTTTAAGTCGTTCAAATTCTTTAAGCAGTTCTTAGGTCTTCTGTTTTTGGTATTAGCTTCTTGTCTTCAAGTTTCTTCTACTGCTTTCTCCTTCTTTGTGAAATACACATCTGTTCTCTTACATACACATTAACACATTTATTTAATAATACGTATGTGAGCCCTCTGTCTGCTGTCAGGCCAGCTGGTGTTCACTGGTAATCCATTCATATAACGTGTAACTGAAGTCATGTAGATTATCTTTAGTAATCACAATTTCAACTTTTTAATGTAGAATATTTCTTCTTAATAATACATTTCTTCGCTTTTAATGTCTCTGAGAGGCTCCTTGAGAAGGACACTGTGACATGAGATAAAGCAGGGGACTCCAAAGTCTGGCCCCAGGGCCAAACGTGGCCCGCGGACAGATTTTAATTGACCCGTGGCTTCTGTTTTAGAGTGTGTTATAAGTGGCTCACCAGCCAACGTCACAGATTTTCCTTTCACTTGATGATGGCAGGAGTACCGTAAATATTATAGTGTAATGCACCTCACTGTGGTCACAGAGTTAGCTAAAGTTTAAGAGCCTTTCTTCTCTGACTAGACCTGCAACTTAATGTACTGAATGACATTTAGTCACGACTACAGCCATAAAGCACAAACTTTACACTGAGAAGCAGAAATTTTGGTCAAATGGAAGTTTAAATACTTTTTCATTGAGAGCTGCAGCAAATGCACGTGCCTCATATGTCAAAGGACTGTAATGAATTAAATATCAAGACATACAACAAAGTTGAAGCAACAGAAAGCAAACGGGGTCTCACAGCACCAACTTCTTATCAGAGCAAATTCACTAATTCAGTAAATGAAATAAGTGGCTATTTCTGCTGTTTAGTCTGCTCTTCTGAATGCAGTTGTTGCATTTATTTCGTATGTAAAGAACATTTATTTATTATAAAGAACAAGGCCTTACAAAACTGAAAATGTATAGATTTTTATTTAGTTTGCCTCAAATTACATTGTTGAACAAGTAAACACTCAAACAGGAATGGAATTAATACATTATTCATGTTTTGTTTTGTTTTTGCTGGACTTCGGACGCCCCTGTATTAGACAGTAAGTGAACAGTCCTCTTAGTTGATGTGTTGGATGTGGGTGAAATGCAGCTAAATCTGTAACACTCTACAGCTGTAAATACAACAGACTTTCAGAAAGAATAAAAAAGGAATAAGTGATGTTATAAGGTACCACCAAAAAGCCATCTGATTGGCCAGTTTTCTTCCAGGTACATTAAGACAGAATTTGATTATGTAAGAAACATTTGAACATTTTTAAGGACACAGTACATTTTTTTAAAGAAAAACATGACAACAATTATTTACTTATTTATTAAATTATTTAATTTAATGTATCTTTGGTTAAAAAAAATTAAAAAACATTTCATTGTTTTTCTTTACTTGTTTCTGTAAAGCTAAATTTCTCTACTTGGCCCCTGGATAATTCTGTGCTGACTGCATCGTCCTGTTTAAAACACAGGGATCTTATCTTTAACAGTGGTGGAAGTAACAGATGAGCTGCTGTAGATCTGTTAGTGAATTCAGAGCTAATCTGTGATGCTGTAGGTTACATTTTGTTTACCTTTCACTGAAAGCCCTGTTTATTTATCAACAATTTATCCACAATGAACTACACAGTTTGTAAGCATTCTTTTAGGCTGACGTTAATTTTTCACTTAAAAGTCTATAATTGAGCTTCATCTTGTTTATCACATTAAGTTTGATTGTAAGATTAGCCAGACTGATTTAGCTGCTTAGCTAATTGACACAATGACACGTGAAGCAATGATGATGAACACTACAGTACTTCCTCTTTTAAGTGTTTTGTATATTTGTATATCCATTCATTCATAACTGACATTATCTCACTCTGTAGTTAAATGACAAAATAAACATTTAGGATTTAGATTAAATGAAGTTTCTAAGGCATCAACGTTTAAATTACTGATTGAGGATTAAATCCATTCTGAGATTTATTTATACATCACTTTTTATAACGGGTGTTGTAAAAAGCTGCTAAACAGAAATCCGGGTCCAAGCCCCAAATGAGCAAGCCAAGGGCGACAGTGGCAAGGAAAAACTCCCAAAGAGTAAAAGGAAGAAGCCTTGAGAGGAACCAAGACTCAAAAGGGGAACCCATCCTCCTCCGTTCGACACCGGATAGCAAAAGAAAAATACAACGAGAACGATTTGAAGAAAGAATAAGATTTGACATTCATTTAATGTATCTTGTTATAACTGAACCCTAATTATTTCCTATTTATGACCACCACACCCTCACATTGCTTCATTTCACAATCCGCCTTTTCAGTCTATTAATAGAATGTTTGTTAGGATTCCTGAGCTGTTAGTACACGATCAATATTTACATCTGAGATCTACTGATTTTACAGATTTTACTATGTAGTGTTGATGAGATTTAAAGATTCAATAGCAACTAAAAATTATCAGCAGCTGAATAAAATCACCTCTTATTCCCAGATTTAGTGACAAAACTACCTAAATTAGTCTACAATGTAAGGAAACAGCAATGAGTTCCTATTTTGCTCTTTTTAAGTGGTTTAGATTATTTTAGAAATAACACGAGTCAGTTCAGTATGTTTTCTTTTAATACACTGAATCAGATTTTTCTGGATTCTTCTCTCAATAGTCAGGAAGCTTCCCTGTAAAGACAAACCTAAAAAAAAACAAAAACAAAGTTACAAACAGGTTGTGGTGGTGCAATGTTGAAATAATCTAATTTAAGATTTTAAGATTTTAGTGGGTTCACTGGTACTGTTTTTTGCATATTACTGTTGTTAATAAATTGATATTAAACCTAAATCCATATAAATAAATCAGACAATCCAGCAGTACCAAATGTACCAGGGGATGATTAAAGGAGGAGAGTAAAAAAAGAAGGAAAACACATGAAATATAGATAAACAAGGAAGAGACAGAACAAGAGACAAAGAGGTGTTAAATGGTGGTCCAGGAAGCTACTTCTGGAACCATTTCCACAGGAAACAGAAGCAGCAACAGCTCCTGAAAAGACAAAATAAGGTATTGTGTTAATATAATGTTGATAGCTGCGCTCTTTTAATTTTATTTCTTATTTCTGACTAATATAAAGCTTTTGAAAT